AACATTTCAGCAGCATATCGATTTCAGCAGCAAATTTTCGGGGTCTTTCGATTTGGCTGAAAATCGGTATACAGTGCCTCCTCGATGCGCTGATTCCGAAAATGTACCTCTTTGGGGTGGTATTTTGCACTCTTAACGAGTTAACGGCCATTTAACATTTTAACGGGAAACGGCGGGGTCTATCGATTTGGCTGAAAATCGGTATACAGGGCCTCCTCGATGCGCTGATTCCGAAAATGTAGCTCTTTGGGGTGGTATTTTGCACCGTTAACGAGTTAACGGCCATTTAACATTTAAACGGGAAACGGCGGGGTCTTTCGATTTGCCTGAAAATCGGTATACAGGGCCTCCTCGATGCGCTGATTCCGAAAATGTACCTCTTTGGGGTGGTATTTTGCACCGTTAACGAGTTAACGGCCAGTTAACATTTTGACGGGAAACAGCGGGGTCTTTCGATTTGGCTGAAAATCGGTATACAGGGCCTCCTTGATGCGCTGATTCCGAAAATGTACCTCTTTGGGGTGGTATTCTGCACCATTAACGAGTTAACGGCCATTTACCATTTCAACGGGAAACGGCGGGGTCTTTCGATTTGGCTGAAAATCGGTATACAGGGCCTCCTTGATGCGCTGATTCCGAAAATGTACCTCTTTGGGGTAGTATTTTGCACTGTTAACGAGTTAACGGCCATTTAACATTTTAACGGGAAACGGCGGGGTCTTTCGATTTGGCTGAAAATCGGTATACAGGGCCTCCTCGATGCGCTGATTCCGAAAATGTACCTCTTTAGGGTGGTATTTTGCACCGTTAACGAGATAACGACCAAATAACATTTTAGCGGGAAACGGCGGGGTCTTTCGATTTGGCTGAAAATCGGTATACAGGGCCTCCTCGATGCGCTCATTCCGAAAATGTACCTCTTTAGGGTGGTATTTTGCACCGTTAACGAGTTAACGACCAAATAACATTTTAACGGGAAACGGCGGGGTCTTTCGATTTCGCTGAAAATCGGTATACAGGGCCTCCTTGATGCGCTGATTTCGAAAATGTGCCTCTTTGGGGTGGTATTTTGCACCGTTAACGAGCTAACGAGCCGTTAACATTTCAGCACCATATATCGATTTCAGCAGCAAATTTTTGGGGTCTTTCGATTTGATTGAAAGTCGGTATACAGGGCCTCCTCGATGCGCTGATGCCGAAAATTTACCTCTTTAGGGTGGTATTTTGCACCGTTAACGAGTTAACGAACCGTTAACATTTCAGCAGCATATGTCGATATCAGCAGCAAATTTTCTTGGTCTTTTGGTTTGGCTGAAAATCGGTATACAGTGCCTCCTCGATGCGCATCGAGGTTACCGGATCGTTAACTCGTTAACGATGCAAATCACCACCCCAAAGAGGCACATTGTCGAAATCAGCGCATCGAGAAGTCCCTGTATACTGATTTTCAGCCAAATCGAAAGACCCGCCGTTTCCCGTTAAAATGTTAATTGGTCGTTAACTCGTTAACGGTGCAAAATACCACCCCAAAGAGGTACATTTTCGGAATCAGCGCATCGAGGAGGCCCTGTACACCGATTTTCAGCCAAATCGAAAGACCGTACCGTTTTACGTTAAAATGTTAATTGGTCGTTAACTCGTTAACGGTGCAAAATACCACCCCAAAGAGGTAGCTTTTCGGAATCAGCGCATCGAGGAGACCCTGTACACCGATTTTAAGCCAAATCGAAAGACCCCGAAAATTTGCTGCTGAAATCGATATATGCTGCTGAAATGTTAACGGATCGTTAACTCGTTAAGGATGCAAAATACCACCCCAAAGAGGTACCTTTTTGGAATCAGCGCATCGAGGAGACCCTGCACACCGATTTTAAGCCAAATCCGAAGACCCCGAAAATTTGCTGCTGTAATCGATATATGCTGCTGAAATGTTAACGGATCGTTAACTCGTTAACGATGCAAAATACCACCCCAAAAGTGGCACATTCTCGAAATGAGCGCATCGAGAAGGCCCTGTATACTGGTTTACAGCAAAATCGAAAGACCCCGCTGTTTCCCGTTAAAATGTTAACTGGCCGTTAACTCGTTAACGGTGCAAAATACCACCCCAAAGAGGTACATTTTCGGAATCAGCGCATCAAGGAGGCCCTGTATACCGATTTTCAGCCAAATCGAAAGACCCTGCCGTTTCCCGTTAAAATGTTAATTGGTCGTTAACTCGTTAACGGTGCAAAATACCACCCCAAAGAGGTACATTTTCGGAATCAGCGCATCGAGGAGGCCCTGTATATTGATTTTTAGCCAAATCGAAAGACCCCGCCGTTTTCCGTTAAAATGTTAATCGGTCGTTAACTCATTAACAGTGCAAAATACCACCCCAAAAAGGTACCTTTTTGGAATCAGCGCATCGAAGAGACCCTGTACACCGATTTTAAGCCAAATCGAAAGACCCCAAAAATTTGCTGCTGAAATCGATATATGCTGCTGAAATGTTAACGGATCATTAACTCGTTAACGATGCAAAATACCATCTCAAAGAGGCACATTTTCGAAATCAGCGCATCGAGAAGGCCCTGTATACTGACTTTCAGCCAAATCGAAAGACCCCGCCGTTTCCCGTTAAAATGTTAATTGGTCGTTAACTCGTTAACGGTGCAAAATACCACCCCAAAGAGATACATTTTCGGAATCAGCGCATCGAGAAGGCCCTGGACACCGATTTTCAGCCAAATCAAAAGATCCCGCTGTTTCCCGTTAAAATGTTAACTGGCCGTTAACTCGTTAACGGTGCAAAATACCACCCCAAAGAGGTACATTTTCGGAACCAACGCAGAGGAGGCCCTGTATACCGATTTTCAGCCAAATCGAAAGGCCCCGCTGTTTCCCGTTAAAATGTTATTTGGTCGTTAACTCGTTAACGGTGCAAAATACCACCCCAAAGAGGTACATTTTCGGAATCAGCGCATCAAGGAGGCCCTGTATACCGATTTTTAGCCAAATCGAAAGACCCCGCCGTTTCCCGTTAAATGTTAATTGGTCGTTAACTCGTTAACGGTGCAAAATACCACCCCAAAGAGGTACATTTTCGGAATCAGCGCATCGAGGAGGCCCTGTATACCGATTTTCAGCCAAATCAAAAGACCCCGCCGTTTCCCGTTAAAATGCTAATTGGTCGTTAACTCGTTAACGGTGCAAAATACCACCCCAAAGAGGTACATTTTCGGAATCAGCGCATCGAGGAGACCCTGTACACCGATTTTAAGCAAAATCAAAAGACCCCGAAAATTTGCTGCTGAAATCGATATATGCTGCTGAAATGTTAACGTATCGTTAACTCGTTAACGATGCAAAATACCACCTCAAAGAGGTACATTTTCGGAATCAGCGCATCGAGAAGGCCCTGGACACCGATTTTCAGCCAAATCGAAAGACCTTGCTGTTTCCCGTTAAAATGTTAATTGGCCGTTAACTCGTTAACGGTGCAAAATACCACCCCAAAGAGGTACATTTTCGGAGTCAGCGCATCGAGGAGGCCCTGTATACCGATTTTCAGCCAAATCGAAAGACCCCGCTGTTTCCCGTTAAAATGTTAATTGGTCGTTAACTCGTTAACGGTGCAAAATACCACCCCAAAGAGGTACATTTTCGGAATCAGCGCATCAAGGAGGCCCTGTATTCCGATTTTTAGCCAAATCGAAAGACCCCGCCGTTTCCCGTTAAAATGTTAATTGGTCGTTAACTCGTTAACGGTGCAAAATACCACTTCAAAGAGGTACATTTTCGGAATCAGCGCATCGAGGAGGCCCTGTATACCGATTTTCAGCCAAATCGAAGGACCCCGCCGTTTCCCGTTAAAATGTTAATTGGTCGTTAACTCGTTAACGGTGCAAAATACCACCCCAAAGAGGTACATTTTCGGAATCAGCGCATCGAGGAGACCCTGTACACCGATTTTAAGCCAAATCGAAAGACCCCGAAAATTTGCTGCTGAAATCGATATATGCTGCTGAAATGTTAACGGATCGTTAACTCATTAACGATGCAAAATACCACCTCAAAGAGGCAAATTTTCGAAATCAGCACATCGAGAAGGCCCTGTATACTGATTTTCAGCCAAATCGAAAGACCCCGCTGTTTCCCGTTAAAATGTTAACTGGCCGTTAACTCGTTAACGGTGCAAAATACCACCCAAAAGAGGTACATTTTCGGAATCAGCGCATCGAGGAGGCCCTGTATACCGATTTTCAGCCAAATCGAAAGACCCCACCGTTTCCCGTTAAAATGTTAAATGGCCGTTAACTCGTTAACGGTGCAAAATACCACCCAAAAGAGTTACATTTTCGGAATCAGCGCATCGAGGAGGCCCTGTATACTGATTTTCAGCCAAATCGAAAGACCCCGCTGTTTCCCGTTAAAATGTTAACTGGCCGTTAACTCGTTAACGGTGCAAAATACCACCCCAAAGAGGTACATTTTCGGAATCAGCGCATCAAGGAGGCCCTATATACCGATTTTTAGCCAAATCGAAAGACCCCGCCGTTTCCCGTTAAAATGTTAATTGGTCGTTAACTCGTTAAGGGTGCAAAATACCACCCCAAAGAGGTACATTTTCGGAATCAGCGCATCGAGGAGGCCCTGAATACCGATTTTCAGCCAAATCGAAAGACCCCGCCGTTTCCCGTTAAAATGTTAATTGGTCGTTAACTCGTTAAGGGTGCAAAATACCACCCCAAAGAGGTACATTTTCGGAATCAGCGCATCGAGGAGGCCCTGAATACCGATTTTCAGCCAAATCGAAAGACCCCGCCGTTTCCCGTTAAAATGTTAAATGGCCGTTAACTCGTTAACGGTGCAAAATACCACCCCAAAGAGGTACATTTTCGGAATCAGCGCATCGAGGAGGCCCTGTATACCGATTTTCAGCCAAATCGAAAGACCCCGAAATATGCTGCTGTGAGGCTGATATTCGTTGCTGCTGAATTGATAGACGTCAAAATTTTATTGTTGATGGCTTATCTGCGTTTTGGGGTGCTTTAATTTTAAACAATATTTTATGCATTTATTGATAATTCTGCGCTGTTGAATGTGCCTTAAGAACGATACTGATGGTCTTTTACTAGTAACGTCTTAAGTCAATTTGCTAATTGTAGTTTGTACCGCCTATCGGCTTTCATTACAAGTATCGCTAATCCAAGGCAATATCAATATAAAACCCACTACAACTAATCACTAAACAACTATATTTCTATGTTTCAGAAATTTTAGAAGGTCCAAGGATATAGTCTGAAATGGCTGAAGCAGATCTGGAACTATGCCTTTCTACTGCACTGAAGCTTGCCCGCGAAGCTGGTGGGGTAAGCCGTTTTTAGACATTTTTACTGACATTTTTGATTCATTGTGCTGTTATATAATATGCTGAAATAAATGTGATTGTCCCATGCACTTCAATCAGAATAAGCAGGTGTTACTGCTTGCACAAGTCAATTTACATGATACCTACTCAATTAAATTATGAAATTTATGTGATGCTTTAGGGCTTAGACATGAAGGCATAAATCATAAATGTACAGCCCTCCAGCAAAAGAGTGGTTGGTTAGCCTATGTGCTTTTGGTGTAATAACTTCAAATGACAGAGACACTCCTGTAAAATGACTCAATAGAAATGAGAAGAGGGCCCGTGCACACATTTTGGCAGTGGTTTTCAATAGCCATTAGACGTATTCATCAATGCAGATAGATTATTGTGATGTTGGCAACCAACCTTAATACCTGGAGGGCTGTACATGATGACCTTGAGGTCACATGACCTGAGGTCAACCTTTGACCTTGACCACCCTTGTGGCCAGGGCTGCGGAGTCGATGGATTTTCGGCGACTCCGACTCCGACTCCGACTCCGGCTTTCAAAAACCAGCTCCGACTCCGACTCCGGGCAGAATTGTCGACTCCGACCGACTCCAACTCCCGACTCCGACTCCGCAGACCTAGCAGGGCTGCGGAGTCGACAGATTTTCGGTGACTCTGACTCCGACTCTGGCTCGGGTTTCTAAAATTGACTCCGACTCTGACTCCGACTCCGGTCACAACTGTCGACTCCGAGCGGAGTCGATGGATTTTCGGCGACTCCGACTCCGACTCCGACTCCGGCTTTCAAAAACCAGATCTGACTCCGACTCCGACTCCGGGCAGAATTGTCGACTCCGACCGACTCCAACTCCCGACTCCGACTCCGCAGACCTAGCAGGGCTGCGGAGTCGACAGATTTTCGGTGACTCCGACTCCGACTCCGGCTCGGGGTTCTAAAATCGACTCCGACTCCGACTCCGACTCCGGTCACAACTGTCGACTCCGACCGACTCCGACTCCGACTCCGACTCCGACTCCGACTCCGCAGCCCTGGCGCTCACGTTTGGTGTGGGAGGTCCTTGGATCAAAGCTGACCTCTGGCAGCGTTTTCCTCGGGAGGCTCCTACCCAGGAGATGGCAGTAACTGGGGAGTGTTCGCTCAGTCGTGGGGATTACCGCTGTGCCAGCCAGCACCCCCGGCCGCAGGTACACGGGCCTGATCCGCCTTTGACTCTATTCCTGGCGGGCTCCGCCGGGACAATAAACTGGCGGGGGGGCGATTCGGCCCCCCTTCAGATCTAAAAAACTACACATCGCAGCAACAAACGGCAAACGGCGTTTGATAGGTCGTTTAAAGATCTACAACTTTTACATAAAAGATTTTCAGGTCAGGTCAATATTGAGGTCACCAGAGGTCATCAACGATAAAATGTTTTGGAATTAGTTACCTATATAACTTTTAAACTAAGAAACAATAGAGACATAAAACCAATACATTTTTTGTTGCTCTCGCCGAGGCGATGCGAGGTAAGTATGTGATACTGATGACCTTCATAGGTCAATTTGAAATTTGACCTGAGGTCAAGGTCAGGCCATTCATTAATGAGGTTGTGGGGTATGGTCATGCTGCATACCAAATGACGCGCCTTGACCAGGCGAGCAGTTTGGTATCACTTACAAGTCTTTAGCACCATCATGTCGTGATTTATTGACAGAAAAACGATTTATGACGTCACATGACCTCAGATGACCTTTGCCGGTGCCCCTGTCAATTAGCGGCACCAGGATCATCACCGATGAGATAATCTTCCATAATACTGAAAGAATTGGGTGGTTTTGACTCTTTTACACGAAGCAGGAGGCGTTTCAATATTTTCCCATAGGCTTGCAATGTAAAGGTCACAAGTCTGGCCTGACCTCAGGACTGAGGTCACAGATATGAAAATTCTGAGATATAAAAATTGCACATACTGGTACTCTAACTAAAACCTGAAGAGAAGAAATTGATCGGTCAAAAACTCTAGCTCTGGCGTGATTGCAAACTTTTCTGAGGTGGGGTCACCAAACCGCCTCTGGTGACCTGACCTGACCTGACCCGGCAACTTTCTTTTTGTCAAAATGTGCGCAATGAATGTTAAGGAAAAGTCACCGAGTATGAGCTCTCAGTCTTGCGGCGTTTGGCAATGGCACAAGAAAAACCTGAAGGGGGGGGGGCCTTAAAGGCCCCCCCCCCCGCCAGGAATAGGGTTAAACAGATCCTTCGGTCCGGTGACATGTCCCGAGGGCACGGCCTCGCTTCATGTCCCGGAGCAGCCCTCTGACCTGCCGGGCCCGAGAAATCGGGATAGCCCCAGCGTGCGCACCAGTGCGGTGCCACCTGGGGTGCGTGACAGGAAGCGTGCGGTCAAGGCTGTCTCGCGTAGCGGGTGCCGAAAACGATTCGTACCACTGCCGTGTATATAGTGTACTAACCCAGTATGAATGTGTGCTACTAACGACAAAAGCCCGGGTCGGGCAACATAAATCTTAAAAAAACCTTTGACCTTGACCTTTCGAAGGTCAACACTTATATGGTCTGATGCGGATTGACGAGAGGATCACGATGGTGCCATTAGTTTGTTCCTAGGCTGGGCACTTTAAAAGTTATTCGAGAAAAACTCTTCATTTCTAGCGCCGCCATTTTGACTTTTTTTTACCCCTGTGACGTTATCTTTGACCTGACCTGAAAATGACCTTAGTAAAAATTGTAGACCTTGTCCTTGCGTACCCCATGCCGTTTACCGCTTGTCGCTATCTTGCTTCTTTTTCGAGATCTCAGGGGGGGGGGGACTGTCAACCCCACCATCGGTTCTAAGTTGGCGCAGACCCCTGTCGGTGCGTGGGTTAAGAATTTAATGTATTGTTTATGTTTCAGATGATAAAAGATGCATTTAAGAAGAAGAAAAATGTTATGCTCAAGGCGTCTCCAATTGATCTGGTTACAGAGACTGATGAAGCTGTTGAGAAGTTCCTATTCTCCGAGCTACGCAAGGTGTTTCCACAGCATCGGTATGTAGCAATCCTATATTGAGCCATCAGCTTGGTACACTGCGCTGTTTCAACTTCCACTTAATTTGCAGCCAGTGACCGTGCTGGGCTGTGTTCAGCCTGCTAAGGTGACCACCGTCCATGTGCGGCTCATTTCAGGTACATCGGCGAAGAGTCGGTGGCGGCCGGCGCCAAGGTGGACTTCACTGACGCGCCCACCTGGATCATTGATCCCGTGGACGGCACCATGAACTTCGTGCACAGCTTCCCATTCACGTGTGTCTCCATAGGTGAGCTGGCGTCTGAACATATCGGGCAGGCGGCGCCGTCATGCCGTGAATGTGGAAACTTGAACGAGACGGCTAACACGTGAAAAGTTCATTGTATCGTTAACCATGAGGCCAGCATTTGAATTGACTCACTTGGAGCTAGGTATCGTAAGATTCTGAGTCAGATGCGATGTACCGATGTTTAGGAAAGTTTTTTTTTTTTATAAACCACTGGTCATTGGTCGTCAGCAAGGATATACACTGATCTTTTCAAATTGTGAATGTCGGTCAAAAATAAATCCATCAGTTTATTCTCATTCATTTGATTACATAGTGCTTATGTCATATATGTAGACGTAAAATGTCAATCAACCACTCGTGATTATCAGTTTCTTTTGACCGTATTTCATGCCATCCCCCACTTTGACGTCGACAGACATATACAAGTTGTAGAGAACGAAATGTAACGAGGATCTGCATCATGCACAGTATAATGTGCATGCATGCAACTCACATTATCTTTTATATGCATTTTTTCGCATGCGTGTTTGTAAATGGATGTTGACAAGGCTTTGGCCATGTGTTTTATTTTTCACAGGTCTGACTGTAAATAAGGAGCCGGTGATTGGAGTTATATACAACCCTATTCTCGATCATATGTATCATGCGAGAAAAGGACACGGTGCTTTCCTGAATGACGAGAAAATAACGGTCTCAGGGGAGACGGGTGAGTCGGCATATTCCATAGGTATAGTCAATATCTAGTCATTATAGTCATCAAATAGCGTCGCGTTTTCGCAGCAACTGCCTGCCGTCTATTCGACACCCTTGTTCGCGTTTTTTGTTTGTTGTCTGGGTTTTGTTGTCTGTTTGCCGCCTTTTTTTATTTCCATATTATTCAAAAACATTTGACTAATTCTTGACCATACATTAGATGTACTGAGGCATGGTCAAATTTAATAGCATTAATATTTTAACAGCTTTGTCATTCATTAAGTTCCTATCCACTTATTCCTTATGCCAGTCTATGAGCAGCCGTAGTTTTTTTCCGGTTTACCGCAGCTCTTTAATGCTCGAGGGGCCGGATCACCTTTTCGCCCTTTGAAATTGGTCTGTGCATAGACCTCTGTATACAGAGGTCTATGGTCTGTGATAACATCATTCGTGTTTCCAGATTTAAGCAAGTCGCTAGTCATCGGCGAGATGGGCACCAGTCCGATTCCCGAGAAGAGGGAATGTGTTTTCGAGAACGCCAGGATATTGGTCGGCAAAGCTCACGGGTACGTGCTGCGTAGTGGCTGGTGCGACTTCGTAACGAAACATATTAACTTTGCTTGCTTCGAGCAGTAAATGCTAAAGGACTTGATGCTAGTTATGTGATTCACACGAAATGACTACGTCGTTGCATCTGCGGAGTCTTTTTACCAGCATTCGTTCTATGCACGTTTGTCCATTGTTCTTAGTGTTGTGTTTCTAAACTCAACTCCCGGCGTCATTAATGCTAGCACATCTTGTGCCGCGTTGCTAGCTCATCCCATGTTGACGATAAAGCCCGTCGTCCATCACTGTACCATCTGAGGCTGTGGTGAAACATTACAGAGGCCGCCAGAGAGACCGCTACATAGCCAGTAGCCGCCCCGTACACTGAATATCCCTCCAATCTGTCCAGTATTCTCCCCGTGGTGCTGTGATTTGTGTATCCACTGAGCCCCTCTCTCGCTCCGACTGTCGTCCGGCCGTGAGCGCCCGCCACTGACACGGCCCAGCGCGCGCCAGGTACCGGTTCCTGGGCTCGGCGGCGCTCTGTATGTGTCTGCTGGCGGAGGGCGGTGCCGACGTGTACTACACGTTCGGCGTCTACTGCTGGGACGTGGCGGCCGGCTGCGTCATCTGCCGCGAGGCCGGCGGTGTGGTGCTCGACACGGCAGGTACACGGCGCCCGCTTAGAGTCCCGGCCTGCGCCCCCTGTCCTACTCCGCATCCCACCACACGGAGCGGGTGGGTGGGACCAGACACTCGGCCGGTCCAGCTCTGTGGTGCGATCCCAGAGAAAAGCGCACTATACATTACCCACTTCTTTTTGTCCAGCATTCCCTAGTAATATACATAAGGCTATGACGACGTTCACAACTAAGATTTGCCTAGACGTTTAGGGTTGTTTTAACCTCTTGAGAACGGGATTTAGTGTAGGGAAGTATTTATGGGCACTGCCCATAGTTTCACTGCCCATTGGGCAGTGAAACTGAAGCTGTGGAAAGGCAAGTCTCAAAAGAAGAAGAAGGAAAAAATATTCTAAAAATGTCGCGAGTAGTATTATAAGCATGATAAATAAGCTAGCAAGGTAATTGCCCCTTTCCATCGCTTTGGGATACAACACGGTGCTTGTCGGGAGAAAACTGCTGTTCCACAAGAGTGGAAAGTTTTACACAATTGGAGGCTTTGCCTTTCAATGTCAGGCATTATATCACGATGCATGCTTAGATTTTCTTTGGCTCAATCGCTGTTTCTTTCGGGATTGTCTTTGTGGCTCGGAAGTTTATCGTCACGGAACAATTCGCCATTTATGCCGACGTTCTCTTCAGACGTCATCTTGTTTCGATTCGGCCGGCCACTGCTGTGTCTCGACTCTCGACCAGCCGACAGTCCTGGGCCTGGGCTGAGTCACAGCCTTGGGCCGCGGACCGACAGCCTTGGGCCGTGAGTTGACAACATTGGGCCGTGGACTGACAGTCCTGGGCCGCGGATCGTGAGCCGACAGCTTTGGGCCGTGGGCTGTCGGCTAACAGCCTTGGATCGTGGACTGACAGCTTTGCCTACTGCTTCAGGCGTCGGAATCTGGCCTCCGCATCTTTCCTCGTTGCACCAGGGCTTTTACCCGAGCTCTATCGACTCCATCAGTCGCTGGACCGGGGCGGTATTCACTCCCGTACTCACCGAACCCTGGCCATTTCAGCCGCGCCGGTGTTCGCCCTCCCTCCAGTGACAGCCCGCGACTTGTGCGGACCGCGTTGCCTCGTCTCTGACCGCCGCCCCCCTTCGTCCGCAGGTTCCGCTCGCTGGGCTCGTGCGCGCTCAACATGTGTCTGGTGGCGTCGGGCGCTGCCGAGCTGTACCACGAGGCGGGCATCCACTGCTGGGACGTGGCCGCCGGCGCCGTGGTCGTCACTGAGGCGGGCGGCGTGGTCATCGATACGGCCGGTACGTGGCGCCGCCGCCGGAGTAGCGGCGGAGGTCGGGCTCCTCGGCACACGCATGATCAGTCGCGAGCCAGACTGCTTGCTATCAGGTGTAGCTTATGTCTGCTGCGATCGCACTGCATATATTTTAGATGCGCTGTGCTATGCAAGTGCATGTTGTGTCGAAAAGCATGATTCATTGCAGTGAGTGGTATTCACGCGTTGCATGCATATTCTCCTCTGCGTTTATTGAGTACATTTGCCATAGTCAGACCGATAGAGGGAAAGCAGATCAAGGTCTGGACCGTTGAAGCGTGAATGAGATATCACGTAGCACAGTAGCTGTATTAGAATGGAGAGTTTATGTTGTTACCTTTTTTTTGTTGGGAGTTATCCAACAACATGGTCCATTCAGAAGAATCTCTAGACACCTCGAATTATTCATCTTGATTTTTGAATTTCGAACCGATTCTGGCTCACATTTTTCTAGCGTTTGTCGCCCCAACTTCAAATTTATGGTTCATGAGTGACTCTTCAAGATTTTGATAATGGGTCTAAGGCATAAACGATCTATTTGAATTCACATACTTTGCTCGAGTTTCTCTGGGATTGGTATAGTACTTTTGTCGACAAAGAAACCTTATCCAACATTTAACATATAGTCGGATTTTATCAAATAAAAAAACTTTAGATCATATAGCTCGATTGTTACGAATAAGCATAGCAAAGGAAATATGCAAAGCTCCCGTTTATCTCCCGTCAGATTCCTTCAGATCCGTGATCTTCCTGCTGATGTCTGTTGCCCACGTACGTGGCTATAATATAGCTTTGTGCTTTTTACCGGTTTTGCTCTTCTGTTCGCTTCATTCTAGTTATTTTGTTTCATGCATCTTACTTCATTATGCAACTTGCCGTTGTAATTTGATGATCACCTTGTTTTGCTTGATATTGATTTTAGCATGTGTGATGATATAACTTACACATTATATCAATAGAATCAATGATTGTGAAGTTTTCTGTACTACTACCGGATCATTTGTTGCTAGTGCTACTAAGTATGTAGTCAGTAACCCTACAGATCTGTTGGAGCCCCCCCCCCCCCCGGCCACGACAGTTGACGAGTGTGACCTGCTGTCCCCCGCATACAGGTGGCGAGTTTGACCTGCTGTCCTGCCGACAAATGCTATGAGTTTGACCTGCTGCTGACCCGTTTACAGGTAGCGAGTTTGACCTGCTGTGTCCCGTCGAGTTTGACCTACTGTCCCCGTTTACAGGTGCCGAGTTTGACCTACTGTCCCCGTTTACAGGTGCCGAGTTTGACCTGCTGTCCCGTTTACAGGTGGCGAGTTTGACCTGCTGTCGCGCCGGGTGCTGTGCGCCAGCTCGCCGTCTCTGGGTCAGGAGGTGGCCTCCCTGCTCCACCAGTACCAGCCGCCGCGCGACTAGGGACCTCCAGCCGTGCCGGGCGGCCCACCGCTACCGAGGGTGGCGAGGGCGGTATGGCAGGAGCGTGTTCCGGCTCAGGGACTGGTCTGGATGATAGACGACGGATAGCGGGTGAACTGGGGTAGAACTCAATTAACCTGTCAGTATTTCAACACTAGTACTGGACTATGTTATATGACTAGAGAGTAGAGGCGGATATAACGTAATTCACGTTATGGGACAAGGTTTGACGCGATAAACGGGTTGGCTGATACAGTGATATTGGAATGTCTTTACACTTTTATCAATTCTCAATGCGCCTAGGATGTTGCTTGTCTAATTGTTGAAAGCCATTTTTGTTGTGAATTTTTGATATGTACTTTTAGTTCAGCGTTCGTATGCTTGAGTATGCGTACCGAGTTTTCGTGTATAATTATTTTCACACTTGTTATAAAGTGAATGTCGTGGAAGTTGTGTACTTTTAACGAGGCATTGTCTTGTGTTGGTTATTTCTTATCAGCATTCATATTCATCCAGCGTCGTTTTCTCATTTTATCGAAAAAAGTATCTTTGATCATCAATTAGTCTTTGTTGACGCTACATTTCTTGATGATTGTCCCCGAGATGATTCAAATAGCTTCTCCACATTTGATAGTTTCAAATTGATACGACAGCTGAATTTTCAGTCATTCTCTAGCATGTGTCTCGCAAATGCTAAGGTGAATTTAGGGTAACGAATGAGCTTTTGCTAGGTACATCAGTCGCGATAAAAAATATGTCGGTCGAATATATCACTGCCAGTCATTGGTTTTCTTTGTGGAGCATCTTGTCCTTGAATGTCTGATGCCGATATTTAATGTTGACGAATCAGATTAGAATACCAGTAAAACGCCTTTTGGGCGAAGAACGAGCGAGCGAGATAGTGAGCCCTGCACGTGCGGAAGGGCGAGAGGGTACTTCCAACGGGCTTGCGCAAAGCACCCTTCTAACCGGTCGCTAGCGGTGTACCAAATTTGAACGCAAGCAATCGGCCCAGCCGTTCCTGAGATCTGGAAGCGGCATTCTGCACGTGCGCACGTGCAAACGGGGTCCAAACTGACTTTTGCACGGCACCCTACTAACCGGTCTCCAACCGTGTACCAAATTTGAGCGCAATCGGCCCAGCCTTTCTCGAGATCTGGAAGCGCCCCCTGCACGTGCGCACGTGCAGTAGCACATTAACCGCAACACATGGGAATGCATTGCCTGGTGGGTGCCTACCTGTATGCCAAGTTTCAGCGAAATCGCCCCAGTAATTACCGAGTTATTAAAATGGGAACAAATTTGACACCTCTTATTGTTGTATTTTGCACGTGCACTGGGGGTGACCCACATGCATCGAGAGTATCCTATTTTTGGTAGAAAGGATGCAGCTACCCTATAAAAATTACCGCAAGTCAATCGCCCAAGCGGCTGCTGAGATATGAGCCTCTCAAAATCACTACTTTTGCAAAACAGCTTGAACACCCTTGACTTTTCACGTGGCACGTGCCACGACGGTCACTGAGATGTATCAAAACTAGTCAATTACGGGGTAGAAGGGATGGGGCTACCCAGCAAAAAAGACCGCAGGCCAATCGGTCCAGCGGTTGCTGAGATATAAGCCTCTCAAAAGCGTTACAGGCCGGGCCGCTCATACTGAGATTTTTCCGTTATATTGAAAAGACTCGCTTCGCTCGCTGCGCTCGCTCGCTCGTAACCATATTCAATTAAAAAAAAGTTGACTACCTGCTTAAGATGCGCTCTGCAGTTCGCGGGCTCAGTTGAGCGGCGATGGGAAAGGGCGTGTTTTTAGAACACTATTTAAATTGTACGTAGGAAAAACAGAGCATCGCCTTCCGTTTTTCCTCAACCATTGGATCATGGCGTATTTTATCTGCGTTTGGGTCCGACAAGAAGCGAAGCTACCCGCCCATTTCAATCAGTCTCTTTCTCCGTCCCGTTTGCATGTATCTCTCCTCCCCTCCGTATACGCTATAACCCTGGTGCTAATGCGCACGGATAAGTGAAAGCACTGCTGTCTCGAATTCGATGCATATAGCATTGTCTACAGTACTACAGTCTACAGTACTCTACACTGTGATGTGTGTACGCATGGCGGATGTAGACGTGGTCGTGATGTGCCGAAATAACCACCCATTTGTGACGCTAATCCGTGACTGCTGGTTGAGCAGCGTCCGTCAACACTGCCTCATGAGTCATGACACCACCGACCATTCCATTCAAGTTGATCTCGCCTGTACCACCACTAGTCTCCAGTCTCTTCATACCCAAAAACACCGGTTGAAGCAAACATTTAATGAGCTTAAAACTACGCATTGATGACAGAATTCATTCGTCTGTTACTATACGTCAATCGTTGCGACGAATCTAAACCAATCCTAAATGCAACGATATCCGACACCTCGACGATCGGACTAAGCCAGACTTCTATCTATGTAATGACACCCGAAACGGTTTTGTCTCGCGCCACATGCCGCTGTACTTGTGCTGTCCCTTCCCTTCCCTTCCCAAGATACCGATAGCTAATTAAAACGGTAACACACCGTGATGCATGGTGAGCTTACCCTCTAGCTCCACACGCGACTATGGCTAAAAACATTCGTTACCACCGCCCGGGGCGATGGTAGCGAACCGCACGTTCTCGCAGCACACACGCACACACACTCGCACTCACAGAGACAGCAGAGAAGGGGAGGGGCGCGGCGGCCGGCAGCGGCGGACACTCAGCGCCACGCGGGTGCCCCTCTCGCGCCAGAGATCGGGTCGCCGGCCGAGCGGACCGCGCGGCGGCGCTAGTCGTTCCTCGCCGTCAGCACGCCGGCCGGTCTGCGCGGCGACTGCGAGGTCTGGCGCGACGGGTGGACCTTGGGCTGGCGCAGCGCGCGCCGCGTCTGTCGGCGCGCCGTCGCCGCCGGCACGGCGAACTCGTCCTTGGTCTTGTCGCGGCGCTGATCCGGGCACTGACGACGAGCGGGGCGGAGAGGCGGTCAAGGTGCGGGCACACCATCCACAGAGCTAGTTAGACTGCCTAGCTGCTAGCAGGGCGATAATCCCGACCATTTGGATAACCAGAGCACGTACTGTTACATCACCGATCCATGCTTCAGCAGAGCAACTAAAATCCTTTTAGCTGTCTCACACTTTCCACTACCAAAGGGACCTATAGCAGACCGCCCCACCGGTCCGGTTCCCCCGTCAGTCTCCCCACCCTTCGAGGGACCCACAGCGTCCCAGCAAACTGCTCTGCCGGTCCGGTCCCCACCCTCTGAGGGACCCACGGCGGCGTCCCCACCTTGTTCTCTGCGTCGCTGCCGGCATCGCTGACGTCGCTGACGGACGGGGCGCGGGCCAGCCGCTCGGCCTCTGTCGGCGCCCTGAGGCGACTCTCGGCGGCCGCCGGCGTGGGCTCGCGGCTCGGGGTCGGCAGCGCCGGCTCGCGGCTCGGCGTCGGCAGCTCCGGCGCCCCCTCGCTCTCCGGTGTGGCCGGCTCTTTGGACGACTGCGAGGTGTCCGTCTCCAGCAGCTCCTGGCGAGGGCGACCAATGCGGTCACGGAGAGTACAAACACCAAGAACAGGCGGGCCAGAGGGCGGAAACAGGTACTCACGGGGACCGGGTCAGACTGATGGGAGGAACAGTAACTTTAGTGGCGGCGGAGTGAAAACATCACTAGTTGGTGTCGTAACTATCAGTCTGTCGGTAACAGTGGACTCTAGGAGAGCAGCGTCCCCGACAGGCACAATGTCTCACGGTCCCCCGTCCTGGGTCCGCGACACCCCCTCCCCGTCCTCCACTCACGCTGGTGCTGAACTCCGGCAGCTCAATCTGGTCGGGCTGGGCGCGGCTCTCCTGCGTGGCGCGGGCCGTTCTGTACCGCTGCAGTATACGCTCGTGCGGCGATGTGGCGGCCAGGTAGCGTGGGTAGGTGAACTCGCGCCGCTGAGGGGTGTTACCCGTGCTGACGTCGCGCTCCAGGCTCTCCAACAGCAGAACCTGCGAGGGGGGCGGCCGGTGTAGCGAATCAGAAATACGTACAGCGGTCAGTGGTTCAGAAAAGAGTTCTGATATAGAATCCCGGCCAGAGACAATTAACCACTTCATAAACGTGACAAATGACGAGCATACTTTGTAACTAATATGGAAGTAGGAACGGAGACATCACAGGACCAGTTACAACATGATTCTTTAGGGACAAAAGAGTTATTTATCACCCTGACAGCCTAGATAAGCCTAGTACAAACGGGCACAGAATACCGCGCTGCCGTCCGGTGGCAAAAACCATTATGTTAGGTCACAGGTCAATGTAACATAATGGATATTTTTGCCTTTGGACGGCAGCGCGGTGCACACAGCTGTACACTGCCGCCGGCTGACTGGTGGCTCCCTGACCTGCACGTCGGCGGCGCGCTGCCGCACGGTCTCTGTGAGGGCGGCCGACTCGGCGGCCACCCTGGCCTCCTGCTCCGTGGCGCGCTGCTGGCGCTGCTGCAGCTGCTCGGCGGCCCGCAGCTGCTGCTCGGCCAGCTGCTGCCGGCCGGCCCCCACCGAGCTGTCCACTGCGGCCGCCAGCTGACGGACCCGGCCCTCGGCAGAGCGGTGCGCCTCGGCGGCGGCCGCGCGGCGGCTGTGGAGCGCCGCCTCCTGCTGCGTCCAGTGCTGCTCGGCGCCGGCGGCCAGCTCGTCCAGCGGCGGCGCCCACGAGTCCCGGGCGGCGGTCACCTCCGCGCGTGCCTCGGCCGTCTGTTTGACCACCTGGCGGCGGGGAACGAGCGTCAGCCACGGATGGGCGCCGGGCAGCCGCGAGCACGGCCACACCGTCAGAGAAGCGCGGCTTGTCGCGGCAGCCGGCCGGATCGGCGGCGCCGGCGGCGCGCGATCCACGGCCGGCCGCCGCCCGGCCCACAGGCTGGCCGGTTCTGGACCCCTGCACGGTCATCATTACAGACATACAACACCCAGTGACCCATCCTAAACGTCACACACACGTACCTCTTCGTCGCGCTGCTGGAACGCCTTCTCTGCCGCCGCGATGTCCTCGGCGTGCTGCTGCTGGGCGCGCTCGATGCTCTGACCAGCTGAGGCGAGGAACTCGGTCTGAGTTTTCCCCGCGCGCTCCAGAGCGGCGCGCCGGGCGGCCAGCGCTGACTCGGCGGCGGCGGCGTCCTCCGCGGCGGCCGTCGCCATCTGCTGAGCCGTGTTCAGGCCGGCGGACAACATCTTGCTGATGGACTGAAATGGGGGAGGGGGGGGGGGGGAAGGTCAGCTCACTCCAGCCGACAGACATCCCCTGGGTGTACGAGCCGGGGCACAATTGCCGCACAGTATCCGATATTTTAAATCATGACGATGAATTGATCTAACACATCAGAAAGCACTGAATTTTCATTAGAACATGCAGAAGGCCTTTCGGTGCCGACCGTCCCGACTGCAGCACCGCCCGCTGGAACCCCTGGAGCCCCGTCCGCCGGTGTCGTCCGTCCGTCCGTCCGCAGCCCTCACCTCAATGTACGCCGTCTGCTGCACCTGGCGCTCCCGCAGTCTCTTGTTCTCGGCCTCCAGCGCGGCGGCGCGCTCCTCCGCCTCCTGGCGCGCCTGCTGCTCCCGCCGGCGCACCAGCTCGGCCAGCTCGTCGAGCACGGCGCGCAGGCCGGCGTCGTGCTGCTGCAGCCAGCGGCGCAGCTCGGCCTGGCGCTGCTCGGCGCTGGCGTCCAGCTGCGCCAGTCGCGCCAGCACCGCCTCGGCGCCGGCCTCCAGCCGACGGCGCAGCTCGGACTGGGTGTCCGTGTGCGCCTGGCGCCGCGCCGACACCGCGTCCAGCTGCGCGCCGATCCAGCTGTGCTGGCCGGCCGCCTCCGACTGAGCGTGTGCCTCCAGCTCGCGCAGCTGCTCCGTCTGCGAGTCGAGTAGTTCGCTCAGCAGGCTGGTCAGCGAGGCCGTCTCCTTCTTCCTGGCCTCCAAATCGGCGCCAAGACTGTCGTGCTCCTGCGTGCAGAAGGCGCGCTGCGTCTGGAAGGCCGCCTCCAGCGCCACCTCCAGTCCCCTCATGTCCGCCTGGAACTGGTCCTGGAACTGGCGGCCCGTCGTCTCGTTTCGCTGCTCCAGCGACCGTTTGCGGTCGAGTTTGTCGTGCACGCCGCGCAGGTCGGAGGCGGCGCCCTTGACGGCGGAGAGCAGCTGGGACGCCTGTCCGGCCAGTCGGCGCTCCGTGTCGGCGCGCCGCTCCACCAGGTGCGACTGCTCGTCCCGCTCCGTCTCCGTCAGCTGCAGCGTCTGGAAACGCAGAGGCAGGCGTCACAGAGCGTCACAGGCATCACAGGGGGGGGGGGGGCGAGCACAGATACACACAGCACTGTCGGGACACCGCTGCTGCAGCACGACGAATGCTGCTGCTACAAGAATGCTGTTTCCAGACGCTGTATCTGCGTCTGGAAACACAGATACAAACACATATTTCAGTCAGCCACCGAATGGTGAATGAAATACGTCCTACTGACTACACAGTACACACCCAGCCGAGGTCGTGCTAATCCCCAACACTCACCCAGGGAGTTTATCCAGTAACACACGTCAACACCACAATCTTAGCCCTATCGCATTACAGCAGCCTGTACTCCTGGATCGGTGGCGGTGGACTCCGGCCTGGCATCGGCGGACTCCTGCCTGTCTACGACTCCACGACCACGACCACGACCACGGCAGCATCACGCGCCAGTTCGACTCACCTCTTTGGTCTTTTGCAGATCGTAGCGCGTGTCACACAGCTTGCCCTCCGTCTCCTCGAGCGCAGTCTTCAGACCGGAGAACAGCGCCTGGGATGGAACGGTACAACGGTCACGTGGCGGTCACCAATACAGTCCCCTCAGCACTGTCAAAATCAAATGGCGCAACTCGTCACCGCTACCAACATAAGGCTAAAGGCAATGATGATAATGTCTGGGATTCTCGTACTGCAATAACACAAAACAGAAAAAACATCTTCCTGCTGTTGTTGGCCTGGACGTAAGAAAATAAGATTGTTGCAATATAGCGATACAGTGGCATACAGGGTTTACCATGCAGACAGGTAGCCAGAGCAACTACACTCGCCCCTCTCCGTGTCTACGCAGCCAGTCGGTTCCGATCACGCCCCATCAGCTGTCATCACCCACCTCCTTCTTCTCCATATCCTCCTGCAGGGCGCGGATGTGGTTGACCTTTTCGACAATCTCCTTCTCCTGCTCCTCCAGCCGGCCGACCATGTTGTCGTAGTTCTCCGGCGCCAGGTAGACGCCCGTCTGCTCGCGCGTGGCCAGTAGGTCGCGCCGCAGCCGCTCGATCTCCTCCGTGTATTCCTGCGAGCGGCCGGTCAGTCCGTCAGTCGTAGGGGACGGGTCCTACCTAACATACGTCCACCCCGACACAGAGGAACGTCCAGGAAATAGTAACAAATTAAGACGATGCACAGAGCTTCAAATTGAGATGATTGGTATCAAGCTAGCAAAAGTCTGAAAATAAAACGTAAAAAAAGAGGATCAGCGATGAGCTTACTAAGCAACACTCAGCAATTTCAAACGGCAATGTAGAACGCAAGATAAAAACCGAAAGAACCATGATATAGGTTGTCAGATGAAGTCCGGCTCACCCAGCGCCCGCGACCCTCCCAGCCGGACGTGTCAGTCGCACCTTCATGAGCGTCTTCTTGCTGAGCCGCTGGTTGACCTCTGGCCGGTTGGTGATGTTCTTGGCGCGCTGGGCGTAGTCGAGCGTGCTCAGCGTCTCCTCCAGGTTACAGGAGGCTGGCGATATGGCGGCGATGATGGACGTCTTGGTGCGACCTCCGAGCGAGTCCTGCAGCAGCCGCGTGAGCTTCGACTCTCTGCGGAGCAGAGGGGGCGGCGGTCAGATACCGACAGAGAACGGGACACACAGGTGGCTTAACGGGCGAATAGTTTGCGACCTGTCAGACCATGTCATAATGTTGACTTGTCGACTTTGAAGGGGATATCTTAGAATAAAAATACATAAGTCACGCTACTTTATGAAAAAGTCATGCAATGGATAATGCTGTCGTGAGAAAACAAGGAGAATGTTTGTGCCTGTGAACTGCAATACATCGCGACATCGAATAGGTATATGCAAAACTATCCGCAATGACTCCTTACTGGGACTACTCTCTCACTCTTCATTTTCACACTCCGCCGGCCCCCGGCTCTTTCCAGAGGCGCGTCACTCACCTGTAGGGCACGTGCGGCGCCCTCTCCACCAGCGAGGTGATGACACGACCCAGTGTCAGCAGGCTCTGGTTGATGTTGCCCGCCTCCCGCGCGCGGCGGTCCACCGCTCCCGACCTGCCCGGGCAGACAGAGTCGGTCACAGCCAGTCACACAGTGTGGATGCAGGAAAACATGCCGGACAGCGTCCGAACCGAGGTACAGCAGCGGCACGGTCAGGACGGGATGGCGTCCGAGGCCCGTGGCGACATCGAACAAATAACAGTTGACAGGGTCCTACCTGACTAATGTCATCGAAGCTTTTATGATACAAATTGAAAAACGAATCAAATCACACATAAAATCGGACAATCGTCACAAAACACGGTTTATGTTTATCGCATCAAATCTCAGCTTTCAAAGAGACCTGACCGGTCCATATTTCGTCTTACATCCTCGATCATTCACAGCACGGCACAACCGCACCCCGGCCACCTACCGTCCGACGTTCTCGCTGCCGGCTAAGTCGACAAGGTTCAGCTTGCCCGTCTTGAGCAGCTCCTCGCCGTCCACCGTGTTCTCCTTGATGTGCACGGTTACAGAGAAGACCGTGTGCGAGCGACTGTCGGAGGCGTGGGGACGCACCGTCACCGGGGTACCGGGGTAACGGAACACTGCGACACGGGGAGCACGGGTAACGGAACACGGCGTCACGGGGAGCACGGGTAACGGAACACTGCGTCACGGAGACCGCGGAACGAGCCATCGTACCATTCCGCCAGGAGGGAGGAACGGATCGTCACACGAAAAGCACGGCGGGAATCATCACAGAAGGGACGCAACATTCCGTCACGGGACTAAAACAGCGCAACGGCGGAACGAGGCGGAAAGATGATTGATTGCGTGAAATAAAAAATAACCACTGAAGATTGAATAAAACAGATAACAGCCTGCTCTCAAACTGTTATACTCTGCACATCACAGGCAGATCGGCGCCCGAGCCGGCTCTCACCTGGAGTGGGCGTTCATCAGCGTGGCGGCTGTCTGACGCTTCTGCGAGCCGAGCCGCAGGATCTCGTAGACGTCGTTCTTGTTGTGAACAGTCACCTCCTCCAGGCCGTGGATGATGCACGAGCCCTTCTTCTGCGCGTCCTCGTACAGCCTGCGGTAGCGAACGGCGGGTCAGCCACCGATGGGGGACGGGAGAGGCGGCCGGCTGGCAGACGAGAGCCGGTTACGGAACGGTGACGGAGGGTGGAACACGCGTTCAACTGTAATCAGTCCGCAAACATTACCCGATAGCACATCATCCGCACCCCGGCATGATGAGGTGGCTCAGCGGGCTGGCAGGCGGATCCATAGATAAGCATGCACCGAGGCAGGCGAATCCATAGATAAGCATGCAAACAGCCAGAAATATTTGGCCGTCACATCATTACTTTCATCAGTTTATAAGCTTTCATGCACCACAAGCCTCCATTCCACATTTTTCGTGTCTAATATTCTGTGCAAGCTAGCTGGTATGTCGTCCATTTTATGGCCACGAGCCACTGGTATCTGTATTTTACCTGAGCCTTGTGGTGTCCGTCTCGGGCCCGAGCAGGTCGAACAGCTCCTCGTTGTAGAGCTCGAGGAACGAGACGCGCACGGTGAACTCCACACCCTGGATGCGCAGCTCGTCGAACAGTTGGCTCAGCGTGCGCGGGATGATACCCAGGCCGGGGTCCTGCGCGGGGAGAGAGACAATCAGGCGGCTGGATGGCGGTCGGAGGGGTGCGGTGGGTCGTGATGTCTCCACTGGCAAACTGTGGGCTGTAATCGCCTCACCCGGGGACAATATCATTTTAAATTACACATCAACAAAAATATAATCAAATACTATGAGCCGTAAGACACAGAATATGGATGTCACCTTGCCATCTTGCCAGTTCTCGAGCCCAAACTGTAATGACAAAGTTAAAAATGGAGCAACAGTGCAAAAGGCATGAATCAGGGCTGACCAGAACAACACAGTGAGGAGGGACAGGGAGCACGGACCTGATCCCAGGGCAGCTCGCTCTCGCAGCGCTCGCCCTCCATGGTGAATGTCTTGCCTGTGCCCGTCTGTCCATAGGCAAACACCGTGCAGTTGTAACCAAGAAGTACCTGCTCCAGCAGTGGCATCACCACCTTCCGATACACGTCCACCTGCAGACACAGATAAGAAGTCTCAGCACAATACCAACACATTTCCTGCAGAATAAAATTAAGTGCAGCCAACAAGGTTTATTCTTAGAATAGTGTATGCATATTGGTAGCCAGGTACCTACAAACTAAATATCATTTTTAGACTTGATATTTCAAAATAAGGCCAAGATATAAAAGGAATAAAATACAAGATAGTCAAAGTGCATGAAATACTTAAAACATTTCTAAGCTGGAACTTACCTGTTTAGACTTTGGTCCGAAAACCCGATCAAAAGTGAAGTTTTTGGTGATTTTGTCCTGCGGCCTCTCCTTAACGGTGACCGTGTGGTCCGACGTCTCCACAATGGAGAAAGAGCCTCTCCCCTTCTCAGTGGCATTGATAGGTCTGCCAGAAAAGCAAAGATTAAGAAAACATCCATTTCAATTTACAAGGAACATTAATTAGTAGGTAGCTCATTGGCATTGTTACATCCGAGTGAGAGTTCCACACTGAAATGTGAGTGGGAACGTTGACATGGTGACACAAGAAGTTGCTCTAGCCTATCCAGTACCTTTTACAATTTGGCAGAATGCCTTAAGAATGAGATCGTAGGAAAAAGACTTACTTAAGATTCAACTGCATTCAAATCAAAATCAGTTGATTTCTGGACTTACCTTGCTCTGACAAACACTTGAATGTTTTGGTTTTTCTGTCCTTTTGAAGACATGGCGTCTCAGACCACAAGATATCCTAACAATAAAAATCAATTTAATACGAGAAGTGGTCAAAATAAACGATACTGTAAAAATATAACGCACAAATTATCTGACAACCACCCTCACAAGCCTCACAGCACAAACTCTTGCACAAACTGATGCCTGCGCAGTTTTTGCCTCAGGATTTAAAACGGACAGGAAAATACTCGAACGTGATTGGTTGATTTCAAATAGCCATCGTAGTGTGTTCGTTTACCTGCGAACGATTAAATCAGCCAATGAGAAACGAGGCGAATTTAGTGACGTAGTGAAATATATTTATAGTCACCGCGGTGAGATTTGGTGAAATAGGCACATTTCGATAAAAGGGACTCTTATATAGCCTTGCAAGGGACGTACAAGATGACATTCTATGCAAAGATACTGCACTTCAATTATTGTTCGCGCTGTACAACACGAAGGCGTCGATAACTTCGTTTGATGTCCATTTCAATTTTGTTGGTCAGGTACACAGATATTCTTTATTTCTATGGTCAGGTACCACACCGAACCCCCCTTCTAAAGAACCATACCCCGATCCAGGGGGCTGTCATCCCGAGCTTTACTATGTGCCGGGCGCCCGACTGTTTAACATTACCCGTGACGTCACGGGGGCGTACACTTGTCAGCTGGCCTTCCCCGCAAGTTTGGCCTTGAATACGATTTTGAGGGTCACGGTTGTAAACAAGTTCCTTTCCGGAAACGTTCCGGAAACGCTGGAAACGTTGCCATCCTTTTATTTTCCGGAAATTGCTTCATTACTAATTTGCGCCTAAAATCACTTTAACCCTCGCCGGCACAGGGGGGGGGGGGGTTGATGCAACCCTCCCTAAGGTTTTTCGCGAATAACTCGCGTAAAAAGCGGCCGATCGCGACGAAACTTTCAGTACCCTCGCATTGATCAATTGTACACCTACCCTGAAAATTTCATGACCCTGACCCAAATGACCTTTGACCTGTGACCTACTTTCCGAGACCATGTTTGGCCGGAATCGCGATTCGGCGTATGTCGGCTCGCATTAGCCGCGCGTTTGCAAGCTTTTCGTGGTTTCAAACGTTCAAACATGTGATTTGATGTTGCTCCCATGCATTAGGGTGGATGTCAAGGTCACCTGAAGGTCAGGTCAGGTCATTGACCTTTGGTGACGTCGGTTCACTTTTTCGAGTTTTACATGTTTCCAGACTAGTTTTTGGAGCTGATTTCGAATTTAGCAACCATTTGAACATTTACGAAGTAGTTTTGGTGCCTTCGTAACATGTTACGAAGCTGTCAGAGGCGGTTGACACGTATTACGAATACCCGTCACGACCCCTACCGGTTGACCTGACCTGACCTGACCCGACCTGGTCTAAATGCTTAAAGACAACATCTCTGATCAAAACTAACACGATATTAGTGATCAGCACCCCGGAGAACTCCATAGCAGCCACACTTTACGACTTTCTAACAGGTCCCGATTTTCCCGATTTTCGGGTCATTGACCTGACCTGGAAGGTCACCCGATGACCTAGGATCCTAAAATTGGATATCATCGGCTTCCTCTCGTGACGGGCAACACGCTCGTTTTTCCTCGAAGCTCTAGCTCAATCAGGGGCCAAACGCGAGGGGGGGTCGTACTACCCCCCCCCCCCCCTTGTGCCGTCGAATGACGCAAAATGGCCTGTACCGGCGAGGGTTAAGCATAGGCTACTTAACGCTTTCCTAATTGTAAAGTGTTGCATTGTCTGCATGGTGAGGAGAACGCTAACCGGTCAGAAGGGCGATGTGTTGTGAGGAGGGCGCCGACAGGTCAGGAGGGCGCTGTACGATGAACGGCGACGCTGACTGGTCGGGAGGGCGATGCATGGTTATGAGGGCGCTATGCGTTGCAAAAGGCGCAGGCTGGTCAGGAGGGCGCTGAACGCGAAGATGTCACCGACAGGCGAGGAGGGCGCTCACAGGTCAGGAGGACATTGCACGGTGATAAGGGCTGCGACAGATCTGGAAAACGCTGTCCGTGAAGAGGGCGCCGACAAGGCAGCAGGGCGCTGTATGGTGGGGAGAGCGCCGACAGGTCAGGAGGGCGCCCATGGTGAGGACTGAGGAGGATGCTGTACGATGAGAAGGGCACTATACGAGTGAAGAGGGCGCTGACAGGTCAGGAGGACACTGTATAAAGAGGAGGGCGCGGACAAGGTGAGGAAGGCGATGTACGGTCAGGAGGGCCGTCTACGGTGAAAAGGGCACCGACTTGTCAGGAGGGCGCTGAACGTAGAGGGCGCCGGTCTGGAGGGCTTTGTATGGTTAGGAGGCCGCTATACAGTGAGAAGGATGGCGACAGGTCAGGAGGGCACTGTACGGTGAGGAAGGCGCTATAATACGATAGGCGCTGCCAGGTCAGGAGGGCGCTGACAAGTGTGGAGGGCGAGACAGATCAGGAGGATGCTGTGTGATAATGTCCATGAGGGCGCTAACTGGTCTGCCCGGAGGGCGCCGAATGTGAAGAGGGTGCCGACAGGCCAGGAGAGCGCTGAAGGGTGAGAAGGGCGCCGACAGATCAAAAGGGCGCCGATCAGACAGAAGGGCGCTGAAGGTGAGCCGAGGGCGCTAGATGGTCAGGAGATTGGGAGTGGCCCAGTAAACATGCCGACGTCGGCCCGACGTCGGCCGACGTCGGGGTGACGTCGGCAACTCGGCATCGGCATGCCGAAGTCGGCCCGACGTCGGTCCAACCTCGGCACGACGTCGGCTGGATGTCGGATATGCCCGCATGTACCGACGTCCAGCCGAGGTCCAGCCGACGTCGGGCCGACGTCGGACCGAGATCAATTGCTGAGGTCCAGCCGACGTCGGGCCGACGTCGGGGCGACGTCGGACCGACATCGGCCGCTATTTTGACCGTTAAAATAATATAAAATACATGTTTCATGTTACATAAAGAGCTTCTGTATTCAAAATATCCTCCGGAAACTCAAATCTTCCTCCACGCCGCAACCCCCTGATCCGGACTGGACGGGAAACTTTATTCCATTTGGGATTGCCCGTAAGCCGAGCTCGCCCGTAGCCGGGTGCGGTGAGTGCTTGGGGGCTGCTCGGCCTATCCTTTGGTCAGGCTCAGCCCCGGCAACTCACCAGGGCCGGGCCCAGTTCATATAGAAAGGCCAGTCGGCAAGTGTCACTTTGCCAAAGTGTCACTTATCAAAGGGACACTTTGGGAAACGTTGGTGCAGGTGTGTAAGAGTGGCTATATGAATCCATTGTGGGGTCGCCCTTTCCAATAAGTGTCACGTAACAGCAATGGGACCAGGGACTCTATATGAACTGGATCCAGGGTGCTCGCCAAGAAGACCAATGTCTCCATCCTATCATCCTTCAGAGTCTGAAATGGTCTTGTCAGACCGAAAGGGCATAACCCAACAAAACAAACAGTTTTCGCTATCTGGCTGTGTGGTGTAGTGGTTAGCGCATTAGGCTCGCGTTCAAATGATCCGGGTTCGTATCCCATCGCCGGCTGATGCTTTTGGCGTGTTGTCCCAGTAAACATGCCGACGTCGGCGACTGGGGGGCTCGAATCCCGCCGCCGGTTGTCGGTTGATATTTTTGGCGCGTTGTCCCAATAAACATGCCGACGTCGGCCCCGTCGGTCCAACGACAAACGATCTCGTCAACCTCGGCAAACGATCTCGGCCCGACGTCGGCTGGACTTCGGCTGAACGTCGGAACATGCGGGCATATCCGACGTCCAGCCGATGTCGGGCCGAGGTTGAACCGACGTTGGGCCGACGTCGGGCCGAGCCTCGGCCCGACGTCGGGCCGACGTCGTCATGTTTACTGGGGGATATCCGGCATTTCAGGATTGTGGGTGCATCTTCATGCCCACAAAGAGATATAAAATTGTAAATCTGGGCGCCAGTACCGCATGATGACGCCGCAATGGCTTACCGTCGAGGGCGACTAGAGTGCTGGACACTGAAAAGTCGCCATCGGCGCACAGAATGATCGTGGAAGGCGCCATCCAGGGCGCCTTGGCGCCCTGGATGGCGTCTTTCCAGAGGGCGCCTGCTAGATTTGGGAGGGGCTAAAGCCCAGTGTGCCCTCTCTCCTTGGCTGCGCCCCTGAGTCCTTTGTCTAGCGATTTTCGAAGTATGTATCGCGTCCGTAGGGGCCTTGGGAGCTGCCGGTGACCACAGGGGCCTTGTAAGGCCCCTGATGACTCGGGACCCGTAGGCCGTATACGGCCTACGGGTCCCGAGTCATGTGGGCCATATCACCACAGGGCACCGCATCTTTTTCGAGATAAATGACCGTTCTGAAGCGTGTCGCATTTTCGTGAGCATGATCTGGCGTTTACATAATATTAAGCGCCTGACGGCCCCTCTCCTGTCTGCGGCTGACAGCTTACTGACAAGCCACCTGGCGATCGCCAGCTCAACCCTAATTACCACGTTGTTCGCTAGGTGGCGGGGTCATACAATCCCAGTCAGGACAAGGGATTCTCATAATTATTTTGCTATCATATTTCCCCCTTTTTAAAGTCATTTAAAAGCGCTATTGCACCAGTAATTTTTCGGTTAGCAGCGATTCCAGCTGCCGCATCAGGGTCCGGATGGAGCCAGGGAGCGTATGCCCCGGTGACGTCACCGTAGTGTTGCAGATTTGTAACATTAGCGAGCCCGGACGATCTTACCTAACTTATACGGCCTTGCCCCGATCCTCACCTTCCGAACGCCGAGCATGAGTGCTGTTTCTCCCTGAACTACTATTTGATGACCCATCGCGACCCCTGCACGCATCACTCATACCACCTCCCATCACAGATACTCGCCACAGTCTCGCTGGGCGCATCTATCGCTATAAAATTGTTAAAGCTACTCAATGGAAGTACAGACCATGAAAATAATACCTAATTCAAGATCTACGAGACAAGTCGCTAAACCATGGATGAAAGAATTACGAATCCATATACAGTGCGTGGTGGGTCGTAAAACAGGTGTATTTGATTCAATGAACACAATAATGCCAGCGAAAACACTTTCTCAGTGAAATATAAAAATATACACCGTTCATTGAATACAACTGACGATACTACGACCATACCGCGATGAAGGCTGAGAATCAGACGGTATCACCGGCATGATGAGACCAGGCGCAATGGTATAGACTACAGAACGTGGCAATGACAGGAACACTGCATACCGCGCCGCCCCCGGCACTGACGACCAGAACACGCACTTCTCGCCCAGCACACTCCAATATACCAAACCACGCTCACAATTTCTCACTATCCGTGGCATGATGTAACAATCAAGTGCACTCCTTGGAAACCCGGACACCCCACGCGATACCGATCCGCACTGCAACTAAACTAATCCTATCACAGCCCTTTACACACGCCCCAACGCATAGTATCAGTCTCACACCTGAGCAAATTAGCAGTGGCACCACTGGGCCGGTGTTCCCCCGTGTCCTGTCCGCGAGTGTGTCTCAGCGGCCCGGGGGCCTGCGGGCGCCCCGGCCCCTCCGCGCCGGGCAGCGGGTCCTGTGAATGGCGAACGGGCCGTGCACCAGCTGCTGGCAGCGGTCGCACGCGCGGCCCCGCTCCGCCGCCCGCCCGCCGTACCTCTGCCGGCAGATCGGGTTGTGTGTCGTAAAGTTGTCTACCAGCTCCTTACAGTGCATGCAGACGCCGCCTGGGCCGCCAAAGACTTTCTGCCGCCTGGCCGGCCGCATGGCGCAGTCACGTTCACGGTGTATCGCGAGCCGACACCGGGCCACGAGCGCGTCGCACTGACGGCACCGCTTTAGCTGGCGGCCTTTGCACACCTTGCGGTGACGCAGCAAAACGCTGCCGAAGAGGGCCTCCAGCATCTCGCCGCAGTCGCTACAGCGACCGGGCTGCGGCCGCGGCCCCGGTGCCGGGTCCGGCTTCTTTTCCGGTTCAGACTTCGCCCCAGACTTTGGCGTCAAGTCGAGCTCCGACTCAGATGTGATGATTTCGATCGCACTCGTCGGGGAGTCAGATCTCGTAGAACGTCCTGGAGAGACAGGCTGCGTAGAACGCTCCGGACAGGAGGGCTTCGTAGAACTTTCCACGGGAACAGACTTGGTAGAGCTGTCCGGAGATTTGGTAGAACTTTCCACAGGAACAGACTTGGTAGACCTTTCCGGAGAGATAGGTTTGGTAGAACTTTCCGGAGAGACGGGATTGGTAGAGCATTCTGAAGAGACGGGCTCTGTAGAAAGTTCTCGAGAGATGGGCTTGGTAGAACTTTCCAAGGATAAACCTTTGGTAGTACGCTCCGGAGAGACGGGCTCGGTGGAGCGTCCCAGAGAGACAGGTTTGGTCGAACGTCCAGGAGAGACGGGTTTGGTAGTACGCTCCGAAGAGACGGGCCCCGTGGAGCGTCCCAGAGAGACAGGTTTGGTCGAACGTCCAGGAGAGACGGGTTTGGTAGTACGCTCCGAAGAGACGGGCCCCGTGGAGCGTCCTGGAGATGCGGGTTTGGTAGAGCGTCCCCGAGATGCGGGTTTGGTAGTAAGCTCCGGAGAGACGGGCTCCGTAGAGCGTCCCGGGGACGACGGCTCGGTGGACGGCTGCGCGGCTGATGGTGGCGGCGGCTCGGCGCCGGTGTCATCCAGCTCACCCCACGTGTCCAGCACCAGCTCTGGGGCGCTGCCTAAGCTCGAGCACGTCAGGCTGGGTGTCCGCTCCAGAGGAGGTCCAACGTCGGTCTCTGAAGCCGCATCGGGGTCGGTCGGCCGAGACTCGCTCTCCGATAACACAGCTGCAGACTTCCCGGCAGGAGATTCCGCGTGAGTGGCGCTGTCTTCAGACATCCCCTGGGTTCGTTCTTCAGTAGGATCTGTCGATTGGGTACTATTCATTGTTGTGTTAGTCTCTTGGCTGAGCTTTTCAGATACATTATGCTTTAGGCTGGGATTTTCAGATGCATCTTGTTTTGGGCTGTGATTTTCAGGTACATCTTGTTTTGACTGACTTGCAGATTGCATAGCTTGGTTGTCGTCCAGCTTGTAAGATGTGCCATCGGAATTTGCGGACTGGCAAGAGCTGTCAGCATGTCCGATCGGTTGGGTGGACTGAGCTGCAGACTTTGTAGCCTGATCAGATTGGTCTGCTGCCACTGATGTTGGATCATCGTTCACGGATACTGCACGATGACTAGAGCTATCTAGCGACTCAGGTTCCTGGCTGTGATTGTCTGTATCATTCGCCTCCGGTGCCGGCCCGTCCGGCGGCCCTGTATCCTGACTGGACACACCCGGGGACTGTGTCTGACTGGACACAGTCCCTGTATCCCCAGCGGACACAGCTCCTGTATCCGGACTGGACACACGCGGTGACTGTGTCTCCTGGTGGGGCGTATCGGCGGCCTGTGCCTCCTGACTGGTCGCGGTCGCCGCTCCGGCCGCGGGCGGCGCTCTGGCCGCGGTCGCCGCTCCTCCGGCCGGGCCGCGTTGGGTCACAGCTCCGAAGGTGGCGGCCAGCAGCGCCACCAGGGTCTCGGTCGGAGACGATGGTGAGCAGGTGGTCTCACAAGCGGGCCCAGTAGCCGCCCTCTGAGCTGCGCCTGGAAGAGCACACGGAACAGTCAGACACTGGCCACACTGAGTACACGCGGGGAGGGATGAGACGGTTAGGGTCAATTTACTCACACACACACACACACACAACGAATTTTATTACAAACATAAATGGACAGAAATAAAAATAAGATGAACATGCAATTGGCGCAAAAGTGCCTTAGCACTTGATTCATGGCGCCTTTTGCTCAATCAGCATTTTGATTTCGTACACTTTTTACCTTATTATCTATGCGTTTGCTTACTTATTCATTTATTGACTACTTGTTGACCGCCGCTCGTGTAGGTGTGGTTTCTTTTACCCGCTCAGTAATAAAGATGGATCAGCAGCCGGCAGCAGCAGTGCCAGGGGTTCCCAGAACTACAGACGAGGGTGTACATGATGTCATTAAAAACGTTTAGTTGACGTAATATAATTTTGGACCTGTTGTGCTAATGTCAGGAGTTGTTCGTGGTCGTTGGTTGTACCGTGTAGGAGGAGATTCAGTTTATATGAGTCTGGTTTGAGGGCGAAGTCTTCACAAATATTATGGGTGATGAATCTGTATAAGGTTCGTCGTTGTTCTTCATATGATGGACAGTGAAGAAAGTAGTGTTTAACATTTTCCAACTCGTTGCCACAGTGACAACTCGGCGAATCTACTCTTTGTATTGTAAATTGATGCGCATTTAGTTTTGACATTCCTACTCTAAGCCTCGTTAATAGACAGTTGCCTATTTTCTTACCCAGGGAATAATATTTCAGTGGGTGCTCTTTTGCCTGCATTTTGTAAATTTCTTTGTTGAATGCCTTTTTTGTCCTCAGAGCTCTGCTCTCTTCCTTAAGTTGATTCCAAAGTCTCGTAGTTGATGGAACATACGAATTATGATATTTTTTAGTACGATTGACTGGTTCCGTTCTTGTTGTTGCGTTTCTTAAGGGTCTATCGATTTGATTGATTCGTTGTGGTGGTATTATTTCTTTGATATAGGATGGGATTTTTGGATTGTTAATGATAGAATAGAACATACTAAGTTTATGTTGTTTTCGTCTTTCTGATAAGGTAGACCATCCCAGGTCTGTTCTGAGTTTGTCAGATGAAGTCCGAGTTAGGGTGCCGGTGATAACTCTAGCAGCCCTATTTTGGAGTCTTTCAAGTCTAATTGCGTCGCTGGTCGTTATAAGTCCGTCGTAGATCATGTCTGAGTTGTCGAAGTAGGGTCTTATGTAAAGTGTGTATATTTGCTCTAGTATCTTTCTAGGTAGATATGACGCTATCGGGTACAGGGGTCCTAAGTTTCTGTTTACTTTGCTTATTATTTCGTTGACGTGCTCCTTGAACATCAAGTCTTCAGAAAACGTAAGGCCTAAGTGCTTATGGTTTTTGTGTATGGGTATGAGTTCTCCTCCAAAAGTTAAATGAGGCAAGCTTTTATCAGTTTGCTTGTTGCTGAATGTCTGTTGAACTGTTTTTGTAGCATTAAATGTAATCAACCACTTCTCCCCATATTTATAAATTTCGTTCAAGTCGTTTTGCAGGGAATTTTCCACTTCAGTCAAAGTGGCTGACGTATGTGAAGCATACATAGATGTGTCATCTGCAAAAAATAGAGTTTCGTTTGATGTTTTGTTAGATAGATCGTTTAAATACAGAAGAGCCAAGAGAGGACCCAGGACCGAGCCTTGTGGACAGCCTGCATTAGTAGTGAGAACGGTTGAATAGGAGTCTTCTATTTTCACACGCTGCCTTCTATCTGATAAGTAAGAAGTGAGCCAATTTAGAAGGTTGCCGGTTATTCCAAATTCGTATTTACATTTATGAAGAAGACCCGTGTGCCAAATTTTGTCAAAGTATCGGGAAATGTCCAAATATATAGCAGTAAAGTCTTTTCCATTGTCGATAGACTTGTACAAGTTATGTGAAAGGTACATCAACTGTAACTGGGTGCTATGATTTGGCCTGTAGCCACTTTGTTTTTCAGTGAGAAGATTGTTGTTCATTAAATGCTCATATATATGCTTGAATACCAGTCTCTCAAGAACTTTTGAGAGGCAAGATAGGAGGCTAATTGGGCGGTAATTCGATGCATGTGATGGCGATCCCTTGTTTTTAAAGATTGGTTTAATATTAGCAAGCTTCCAAGATCCTGGAAAGATGCCTTCATTTAGTGATTTATTGAATATCTTCGCTAATGGCTCGGCAATGATAATAGCAGTAAGCTTTAAAATTTTAGCGGGGAGTTCATCTGGACCAGTTGATTTATTTGGATCTAAGGCATTCAGGGCTTTTAGGACTTCTTGACTGCTTACGTTAATCGAATTTAAGGTTGGAAAAGGTACCGGCTGTGAAGTCAACTGGGTAGCGTGGGTATCGGGAACATCAATGTTTGATTGTGCTGCAAAAAAGTTGTTAAGAAGCGATGCTTTGTCCTTGCTTTCAGTAATTGTCTGGCCATCTGTCGTCTCAAGAGGTGGTATAGCTTTATCTACTTTTCTCAGCACGGGGCGCAGCCAATGACAGACACCACTATGAACAGAATAATACGCATTATGAATAAATAGTTGATACGTGAAGAGCTACATACATTTGCCACAAACATAACCATTCCACGAAAACGTGGCTTACTTAAAATATATATACACAGAACCAATATTTCGGTTATTGGGACAGCGTTATTGGGAAGTGCAAATGCAACACAAATCATCCGTAGGTATCATGGTACACTGTGCATATGTTACAATCCTGCGAGTCACAAGCAGCACGTGAAACAAGCCCGTGAATTTCAAAGTCAGCTAAATGGTGCCACACAAACGCAAGTAGGAGCTTTGTTAAAAATAGAAGATTATACATAAATTCTGAGCCCGTCTCAATATGCATCACTTTTTGCAGAGCTATGGGAAAATTCAGTAATTGCGGGCACTAGAGAATAAGGCACGGCACATAATTTCGGGGGAGGGCGAACAGCACATTACTTGTCCATCATATACAATGCACAGCTTCGCAATAAGTTTTCTAGTAATAATATACAAAGATCCAGTGCGACTATCCTCCCTAAGAAATGACCAGTGGAGCGTAAGCATTTTCTAGAGGCAGTCTCTGTGCAGCCTTGGTATGTTCTGGAGCGTTAATTTGGGTGACAAACGAGCGAGCGAGACAAAGAGCCCTGCACGGACAGAAGTACGGTGAGTAAGCTCCAACTGACTTGTACGGGCCACTCTCCTAGCCGATTGACAACGGTAAAACAGCTTTGAGCGCTATCGCCCAGCCGTTCCCGAGGTGTGAAAATGACCCCTGCACAGGGGCACGTGCAGTCCCCAACCCGCCCAGTCGTGAGCCGTATAGTTCATGAACATGCATTTCTGGTCAATGTCCACCTATTCGTCAAGTCTCAGCGAAATCCCCTCAGCTATTAGGGGATCCTTGTGAGCGGAAAAGTTTGGGCACCCCTGACTTAGCACGTTATTGTTAATGATAATTGTTATTTATGATAGCAATTATATTGTTTGTGAAACTGGGAAATGCGCAGAGTTTCGCAGCTATCACAACTATGTTGTCTGTTTGTTACACAGCCGTAACTCGCTGAATATCAACATGCTCTTAATAACTTCTTGCTCGAATTTGATGCTCTTAATAACTTCTTGCTCGAATTTGCTATCGATTAGTCATGTAGATAACCAAACGAAGTTCTATTTGTATCGCAGGGAGTTCTAGTACTCACTAAGCTTATGTATATCGTGCACCACTGCTAGTCGGTGACCACTTCATACAGAGCGGTCACCTAATACCGTCTGCTAAGCTGTTACTGTTCAGCTCGTTAAGGATGCTATCACCTCACACTGTCAGTCGACACTGAGCGTATCAGCTACTACTGAGTATATACTGGTGCCCATCAACTGATACTGAGTGCCGGTACTGACCAGGGCGGCCCAGCTCATACTGGGCGGATCAGCTCTGAGCTCATGCTGTGTGCTGCTACTGGTGCTGCCCAGCTCATATTAAGTGCCGGTGCTGAGCGGACCAGCTCATACTGTGTGCTGATACCGGTGCTGCCCAGCTCGACATACAGTGTGCTGGTGCTGATTAGCTAATACTGAGTGCTGGTCAGCTACTTAGCTCATACTGAGCGGACCAGCTTATACTGTGTGATACTGGTGCTGATTAGCTAATACTGAGTGCCGGTGCCAGTTGGCTCCTACTGAGTGGACCAGCTCACCTGGCGCGGCCCGTCCGGTGGTGGTCACCTGCGCGGACCCGACGGGCGCTGCGACTAGACCGCCGGGACTCCGCCGTCCGCCTACAGCGAGCCAGAGCGGACACTGGTCAGCCGAGAGGAGGTGACACGACAGAGCGCACAGCTGAGCCAGCGGTGGGCTCAGGAGACAGCCGGGCACGACTAACTACAGCCTAGACCACCACCCGGGGAACGGGGTTACACGCAGGGTCCTCCAACAACCGCCATGTTCAACTCAGACCAAGGGGGCATGCTCAAACCACCTGGCAGTACAAGTGAAGCCTATTTGCAAGTAACGTATTTATGTACACATGCGCATCTCTGGCTACGTTAATACCGCGATGACCGGGGAGGGCGGGGCGCGCGGCCCGCCGCCGCAGGACACTCACCGGGCGCCGGCACGCCGCTCGGCCGGCCGGCTGCTGCGCACGCGGCCCGTCGGAGACGGGGTCGGAGCCGGCGCCGGCGCTGCCTCCAGCTCCGGGTCGCTCGTGTCCTCCACCACGCGCACCGTGTCTGACTCGGAGTCCGAGCTGGAGACGCCCGGCCGCGCATCCCCGGCCGCTGGCGTTCGGACAGCCGGCGAGGACTGGCGGACGGCCGGGGCGCCGGCGGTCACCGGCCGCTCCTTGCGGGTGACTCGGTTCCGGGCGGCGGCCTCGCTGGTCGAAGGCTGCGCTGAGAGCGCGTCAGACTCGTCTGGCGGCGCCGCTGACGGTTGGTCCACACGCGGCGGCTGCTCCGGCGGCTGCTCCAGTGGCGACCCCGTCCGCTTCTCCGGCTCTGACCGACTAGCCGCGGAGCTGACAGAGACCTCCGACAGCTGGGAGCTGGGCCGTGGAGACCCACCGGACTCCTCCCGGCTGATCTCACTCAGTGTCTGCTCGCCCGACTCTGTTTCCTGTTCCCGCTGCTGCTGCGGTGGGTGCTCCGGCTGCTCTCTGTCCTCAGCGCCCGCTGCTGATGGAGCCGTGGCCGGCAGGCTGTCCGACGATACGGACTCTGTCAGCTCCAGCGCGTCCGAGAGCGCCACGGCGGCCGCCGGCTGGATGAGACTGTGCTGCTGCCGGACGGCGGCCAGCCGCTGCCGCATTAGGTCGACGTTGATGATGTGTCGTTTACTGGGCGACACGTCGGCTGGGCTGGTCTCAGGGGCTGCGCCGTCAGACTCCGCCGCCGGCGCCGTCATCACCGGTGTCTCCGTCCTTGGCTGGGCCGGTGGTGTTCCGGGTGCATCTGCGCCAGCACGAACTGCCGCCGAGTCGGTACCCAGGCTTGCGTCGCTCGAGATATCCTCCGCCTCGTCGTCCGCCGCCGCTGCCCGCCGGTCTCCGCGGCGACTGTTTGGCATTGGGAACGGCTGCTGGTCGATCGCGATCTGGCGGATCACCGGCGCGGCTCGGCTCGGCGGCAGGACGACGCTCACCGCAGTGACGCCCGACCGGCGGCGCGGCGCTCGGTTCGGACTCGGAGCGTGCGACGGTGGTCGTCTGGGCGGTGTGCGGGAGTAGCGCCGGCCGGCCGGCGGCTGACGGTACTGCAGGGGTAGCTCCCGGCTGCGGGGTCGGACGGCCGGCGGCTCGAGATCCTCGCCACTGCTCGACACGAGCTCGCCCTCCTCCAGGGAGTCAGAGTCTTGCTGATCAGACGTCACAGACTCGGCACTGGCGGTCCGTCCGTCCTGTTCAGAGACGGCACTGGCGGTCCGTCCGTCCTGCTCGGAGGCGAACTTGGCGATCACCTCGGCCTGTCCTGTGGTGGGTCCGGCGGGCGTTTCTGCCTGTCCCGAGACGGGTCTGGCGGGCGTCTCTGCCTGTACCGAGACGGGTCCGGCGGGCGCCTCGCCCTCCCCCGTGGCGGGCCCGGCTGGCAGCTTGGCCTGTCCCGTAGCGGGCCTAGCGGGCGCCTCAGCCTGTCCCGTGGCGAGCCTAGCGGGAGCCTCAGCCTGCCCCGTGGCGGGCCCGGCGGACGCCTCAGCCTGTCCCGTGGCGGGCCTGGCGGGCGTGTCGGATTCCGCGGCCGCCGGCTGGTTGGTATCGGGCGGCGCGTCGCTCAGCTCGCCCGGGTCGTAGCCCAGCTCTCCGTCCTCCATGGAGCTGATGCCGAGACTCATGTCCGAGTCATAGTCCTGCTCGGAGAGAGACGCTCGGTCCGAATCCCCGTCCGGTGACCGGGCGGGAGTGGCGCGGTCCGGCTCCAGCTCCAGCTCCGCGCCCAGCTCCAACTCCTGACTGCTGACCAGCTCCTGCTCCAACTCCTGCGGCGGCTCCGGGCCGCAGCTCAGCGCTGGCTCAGACTCCTGTTCCGCCCTGTGTACGGTCTCTGGCTCCGACTCTGCATGCTGTGAACACGACTCGGTCCCCGGGAGCTGCTCCTCGGTACCTGAGAGCTGCTCCTCAGCTCCTGACACAGAGAGCTGCTCCTCGGCTCCTGACCCAGAGAGCTGCTCCCTCTCAGAGTCGACCTGTGGTGCCGGGGAGCCGGAGGCGGTTTGTGGCTCCGGGCTGGCCGCGTCAGCAGCCTGGGTCGAAGCCGGCGGCGACGACGGCTTCGGAGGCGACTTTGTCGGCGGCGGAGGCGGCGGTTTCGCAGGCGGCGTCAGCAGCGGCGGGGGATGTGGCTTCGCAGGCGGCGGCGACGACGGCAGCGGCGGTGGCGGCGGCGGCGACAGCGTGGGGAGGCGGCCCGCCCAGGACCCGCTGTACCCAGGATGTGTTGGATTTGCAGGGTTATAAGCGGCGTGCCCACTGTAGCTGTGATGCGGCGGACCGGGATGGGGACCATTGAAGCCGTAAGGCGGGCCCGGAGTCCCATTGTAGTTGTGAGGACTCAACGCGGGCCAATGAAAGCCCTGAGAGGGGTCTGGCGGAGACCCATTAGAGCCATGCAAATGGTCTGGCGAGTGTCCGAGCAAGCCCTGCTGGGCCCCGTTAAAGCCATGATGTAGTGGACCTGGCTGGGTTTCAATGAAACTGTGGAAAGAGCCCTGCGAGAACCCATTGAAAGCTTGTGAGGGGCCCGGCGGGGACCCATTGTAGGTCTGAGGGAAACCCGGCGGGGACCCGCTGAAGCCTTGAGGCGGGCCCGTTGGGGAGCCACTAAAGCTGTGAGGAGGGCCCATCGGGGCTTCATTGAAACCTTGAGGAGGGCCCGCCTGGGGGCCACCGAAGGCAGTTGGCTGAGGGCCATAGCAGACGAGATGCAGCTGATTTGGCCGAGAACTGGAGTGGTGGCTCCATGGATCGGTGCGGCCGAGAGGGGGCGGGCACGGCGGAGACCCACTGTGACCAGAGGGTGCGGCGCCCTGTGGGGGGCAGCTGTAGCCGTAAGAAGGGGCCCCGCTGAAGCTGAGAGGTACCGGCGCCACAGGGGCGCTGTGAGGAGGTCTCGTGGGGTCAGGATGCGGTGAGGAGCCGGGCAGGGTGTCCTGGGCGCCGTGCAGTGTCTCCGCCCGCCACTGGGGACGGTCGGGCCGACACACGCCCGGCGGACCGCCGACCGCGCCGGCCACCACCCCAGTCTCGTTGACGCAGAACGGGTTGAGCGGCAGGAACTCGCAGTGCGCGTCCATATTCTGTTTGAGGTTCGTGTCGGGGCATTCCACCGGCGGCGGCCGGAACAGCAGGTCGAAGCCCGAGAGCAGTTCGCGCTGGAGCCGACCACGGGCGCCGCTGTCCGCGTTCAGGTGACTCCAGTACACGGAGAAGATCTGATTGCCCCAGCGCTTACCGCCCGGCCACTGGGTGGCCCGGCCGAGCTCCGTGGCGGTAAAGACGGCGCTGAGCTGACTGCCGCTGACGAGCGTGGGGCAGTAGTCGGGGCCGAGCCGGCGCAGCGCCGTCAGCACCAGCCGGCCGGCGCGCTCCGGCGGCAGCGAGCTCAAGTACTGCTCCCCGAAGGCATCTGAGGAGGTACGCGGGCGGCGCGTCACTCCTCAGCCAGCGAGGGGCGGCGCCGGCCCGGCCCGGCCCGGCCCGGCCCGGCCCGCACCCGACCACCCAGCCACCACTCAAACATGCGATTAGAAACAAAACAAACAAACTATTTCGGACGGCAAACATGATCTTTCAATGTGCCTTTTGACGATTAACGAGCGAGCGCCAAACAGCTGACACGACACTTTAAAATTTGGCCCAGCTTCTGAGAAACAATCAGACGACACCAACTAGCCAAATCACGAAACACATCCCATATCGACAGATAGTAGTGGGACTCAAGAACCGTATATCTTACTGACTTTATTGATCAGCACAACTGCAGCGATCTAACCAGATCGTTCCCTAGATATATAGGGGTGTGCACAATCCATGCACAAATCAATAATGTGAGGCAATGTGAGGCGGTGGTAATCAAGAAACAACAAGCCTCTCAGGACATGCCAAATTTGAGCACCATCGGCCCAACCAGTATAACTTATAAGGATACTGAAACGAGCCTAAGACACCCACACATGCAGCTTTCCACAATCACCAGTCCCAATCGATGGAAATCTTCCATTTTATATGTAAAACATGCGAGTGAATGTGAATTGGTCCACATATCCAAAGGAGAAATCGTCGAATTATTATTCCCAGATGATCGATCTAGTTAGTAGGTAGCCTAACTAAGAAATCAAATTCAACACGTACAACCCAGGCATGTACCAATAGTTGCCATGAGAGACCAGGCGGCAGCACCAGCATCAGTCCAACAGGAGGTATAATATTTGTGATACGTAAGAAGATAAATGATTGCTAATGCCCTATGAATGTTAATTTATTTTTCATAATATTCGGGCCACGCAAACTGCTTAGTCGCATTCATCTTTAGCACCAGTCAAGGTACAATTGGAGTACTAACCACTAGCAACTGAATCCACTAACAATGCGAGCTTCCGCCTTCCAGAGAAAAAAAAAACAACGAAAAAAGACATTAGCAAGACCCCTGTAAAAGTTCAAATGTTGGGTTAAAGGGATTTCATACAACTGTGCTCAATGAAAGCTTTAGGCAATTTCTTCGAAACAAAAAACAAACAATAGCAACGGCCGATGCGAGAAAAAGAGAAACAATGAACAAGGGCTAATGAAAGAAAAAGAAAAGAAACAATGAACCCAAGTCGCACATATCGAAAAAAATACATTAATCCCGTACACCAGGGAAGATGCTCATACATCGAAATCCATAAACCCGTAACGATGGGGATTAATGAAGTTCAGAAAAGAGTAGAGATACCAGGTAAGATAAGAGGCGTAAGAAACTCAGCGATAGAGCTAAAAGCTAATCCCTAAATCCGCGCACTATGGAAAGGGATCAGATGGACTCTCCCGTTTTTTTTTTTCGCGAATGCCTAACTCGTGTGAAAAGCGCCCGATCGCGACGAAACTTTCAGCGCCAGCCTAGCAGTCCGCTGTCGCTCTGGGGACCCCGCCGACATCTGGCCGGTGGCTATGTATTACGGTTTCATTAGCCGACCCTGTGTGCTGTGCGGTCACAGCCGAGAGTGTGGGGGCGTTCAGCTGGAATTCGGCGCCTGGCCGTCGTGGCGCGTGTCCGTCTTGCCGCATTCATGATCAAATGCCTCGCTGCGGTCACCTTACCGGCGCAGCACCCTCGAGTTTAACAATTTTACACGTCCCCTGAGGATTTCATGACCCTCACCCAGATAACCTTTGACCTGTTTCTAGAGATCATATCAGGTCGGCATTGCGATTCGGCGTATGTCAGCGGACATTTTCCTTACGTTTCCAGACTTCTTGTTATTATGAAGGTACAAGCATGTGAAATGTCCCATGCATTATCGCGGGTGTTAAGACCACGAGAAAGTCAGGTCAAGGTCTTTCATCTTCAATGACTGGTTCACTTTTTCGAATTAAACAAATTTCTAGCGTAGTTTTTGGAGCTGATTTATAATTTAGCACCTATTTAATTAACATCTGAGTAGTAGTTTTGGTGTCTACACGGCATTTGACGAAGCTGCCAGGGGTGGTTAACAACTACTATGGATAGCCAGAGGGACGCGTACTGGCCGACCTGATCTGACCTGACCTACCCCTAATGGTATATTTTTGATGAAAGCATACAATTCGAAATTAGGACCCCGAGAACCTCTAGCAACCTCACTTTTAGAATTTCTAGAAGTTCCCGATTTTCCCGACTGTTGGGTCATCGACCTGACCTGGAAAGTCTGCCATTGACATAGAACCTTAAAATTGAGTATTATCGGCTTCTTCTCGCCACGGATACCACGCTCGAGTTTTCTGATAAGCTCTAGCTCCATCAGGGGCCAAAGGAATGGGGGGGGGGGGGGGTCCAATGAACCACCTTCCTTGGACCTTGCTTGGCCTAGTCCTATCATATCATATCATATCACATCATATTATCATATCATTATCATATCAGTATCATACGCTGCCTGGCATCATTCACTCAAGCCGTGCACTCAAGATAACACAACTGGCATTGGCACCGAGCATAGTCCTTATCCTTTCAGTTTGGTCAGCCTGGCACTATCTTATCTTGCAAAGGCTCAAGGATTGATCAAGCTAAACCCGGGAAGACTAACGGGTTGCACCGTGAGACGCCAGCATATTCTTTGTATCTGTAAACTACACAGTTCGCTTGTTTCACGCTCGCTCGCACCTAACAAAATGAATTTAGTGGAGCCAATGGGCATACCATGGTATGAATGCAAACGGCTTCCCACAGGCCATTCATTCACAAGTAACGCACTTAATTTCTAAAAGACGACACAAGAACGCCAAGGTTCAAGCGTTGCAATTCATAGTCTGGCTACGGTGGGAGCAGCTAGCAAACAAAATGCATTAGGAACTCAGCAATTCAATACAACAGCAAGCGTGGTCACTATTCATGCTAGGCGACAACACAAAGTTCTGCGTACCTTTAATGGGCGTGCAGAGCTCGGGCGGTATGCTGGGTGACAGCTGTTTCCAGGTGTGCTGGCTCCGATGTTCGTCAGCCTCGCTGGCCCCAGTCGCCGTCTCCGTGAGGCGCTCGTTGTCGGTCGGCAGGGGTCCGCCCTGCTCTCCTTCCGGCCCGGCACCCTCCTCGCCCTTCTCAGGCACGTCGAGCACCTGACAGGCGGCGCAGAGCACGCTGCGCACCGCGATGGAGCACATCTGCAGAAAGTGCTCGCCGTCCAGCTCCCTGTCGTCGGCCGTCAGGCGCAGCAGCTCGCGCAGACGGTCCAGGGTGACGCGCGCGCTGTCGAACTCGACGCCACTCGGCGCCGCCGCCGACACGCGCGCCAGGAGGCGTTCGATGTCCTCCAGCCGGTCCGCCAGCGAGGTACCAGTGCCCGCCGCGGCGCTGGCAGTGGGCTCAGAGTCGGCAGGAGCGGCGCTGGCGGGCGGAGAGGCAGCGGATGCAGCGGCAGGAGAGACAGCGCTATCACTGACAGTGGCATCAGGAAAGACAGCACTGTCGTCAGTGGCAGCGACGGCAGTGTCAGAAGAGACAGCGTTAGCGCCGGCGGTGAAGATAGGAGCGCTCTCGGACGGCACGCCGTCCCCATCCATCGTGCTATCTCCAGCAACCGAATCCACCCTTTCCAGCTGCTCCCAATGTGTGGAATCTTCCAGTGATTCGTGGCGCATGTCGTCGCGCTGGGACGAGGCCGGCGATGCCACTAGGTCCTCGGTGAGAATATCGTCCTCCACATCTGACGTCATCACATCCTCTCCACTCAGGCGCGCGGCACGCTTCTCCGGCCTGCAGTCTTCAGGAGGCTCGTGTGCGGCGCGTTTCAGCGGGCTCTGTACACCACTCTGAGACGTTTCGGCCTGCCGTCGGCGCGCTTTCAGCATACAGATCACATCTGGCTCGTCACTGTCACTGGAGAGCGTGAAGATGTGCTTCGGTGATGGTGGAGCTCGGCGAGTTCCATCATCGTCGTCGCTGGAAGAGATACTGATGAGAGGCGGCTGGTCTACGGATGGAGCTTCGCTGGCGCGGGGGGCCGGCAGGTCGGCTGGGACCGTCCAGTCATCAGGCGCCCGGCTCGTCGCCCCGTCGGGTGGTACAGCGCTGGAGTCGTTAGCGGCAGCAGCGGCCGACCGGTGCGGTGACCGGGGGAGGGTCACTGGTGACGTGGGCTCCAGCAGAGGGATGGTCTGTTCCGAGTCACTCCACAGTGACCGGCGCGGCGGTGTACCGGCGATACCGCACACAGCATCGCTCCCACTGGGCGGTGGCGCGCCGACACCGGTCGAACCGTCATCGGAAACGGGCTGAAGTGGGCTGATCCGACCCTGAACCGACCGAGAGCTGAACAGCCCTGGCTCTTCCGGCGCAACGAACGCTGTTGACGCCTCCGTCGGCTTTGGTGCAGCGTCTGCTGTCTCTACTGGCACCGACTCGGTCTCCTCTATCGCCTGATCGGACAGAGGATCCACGTCAACGGGACCGTCATCAGCCGGCTCTTGCTTCACTCTGACGGGCGGGTCGGCCTCCGTCTCCTGACTGTTGTGCTCCGACGAGAGCGCGCCCTTCAGGCCAGAGTAGTCACCCTCTGTGATGTCCCGCTCCAGGTTCTCGAGGAACTCGTCGAACCCCTCCATGTCAGGGTCGTCCAGGACAGAGTCAACACTGCCATCATCTGACGGACTTGCCGGAGGGTGTTTGGGGATATCGCCGGCACCATCCCCCGGTCGGCCCGGCCCAGAGACGTCTTCGTGACTCGGCGAGTGGCGGTCCCCATTTCTGCACGAGGTCTCATCAGGTGGCATGTCCGCTGCCCCCGCAGAAACATGGCCGTCTCCCGGACTTTCAGTATGGGCATCCACCTTTTCTATTTTCACACGATTCGAGTGCGAAAGGCTCGGTTGCTTCTCTTCAGACAGTAAATCTGAACTGCATGAACCTGAGTCATTGTAACCAGAACTATTGGACCTGGGTCGAGTTTTGTCCTCGATTATGGGACTCGGCGTCTTCGAGTCTAAGCTTCCGGTACCATCGCACGTTTTATTCGCGCGCTCCGTGTCGCACTGTGGATTGTCCGGGGCATGTGCCGATGGTGCCGAACTGCCATTGCCGGCAGTTGCTTCTTTGGTCTTCTTCTTGCTGTCAGAATGCTCTCGCGTCGGAGAGCTTTTCTCGCCTCTCTTTTTCGATTCTGAGCATCCCACACTAGCGGATGTTTCTTCTTTATGTGATTTTGTGCTGCTTTTACGCTTCTCTTGTTTTGAATGCTCCTTGGATTTTGATTTCTTTTCGCTGTCAGAAGTATCTTTGTGCCGGTTTTTACTTTGGCTACGTTTTTGATGTTTCGTGGAATGTTTGTCACTCGAGTGGTTCTGTGGGGAGTCAGGGCAGTTCGATTTGGTGCTTTTTTCGACCGATGTTGCCCTTCCTTTATCTGATGTCGAACTGGATGGTTTCTCCGATGATTTTGACGATGAGGATTTTCCATCTTTATCACCTGACTTGCTGGCATGCTTCAAGCGTACTTTCTTTGTACCGTTGGGTTCGACAGAGAGGGCACTTGTGGTGCTCTCAATTACACTGGTGGTCGTAGCGTTTCTGTCATTATGGGATTTGGAGGTAGACGGCTTGGGGTTTGATGCACTCTTTTCCTTATCCTTCGACTTCTCGGCACTTTTAGCTGGAACGCTTTTGGCCTTATCCTTTTCGCCCTTACAAGGCGACTTTATCTTGTCGCCACCTTTCGCGGAGCCGACCTCCGACGCAGACGATTCGGCAGATGATCTCCTGTGAGGCTTGTTTTTGCTGCTCGACTTGTGGGCTGGTCTGGAGCCGGAGGACGACTGGCGGCTGGCGGACGCGGTGGACTTGCGGTCTGAGCTGGACGAGCCGCTGCGCGGGGATGTCCCGGAGCCGCAGCCGGACGAGCCGCCGCTGGTGGTCCGTGAGCGCGCGCTATCACTGCCCGCCTTACTGCGCTCTGACGAGCCGCCGCTGCGCTCCGAGGAGTCGCGCTTCCGATGTTCTTTCGACTTGTCTCGGTGGCTACCCGAGCTGTGACCCGACTCTTTCGAGGACGAGCCTTTGTCACTCGACACTCTCTTTTCGTCACTTTGTACTTTGTGGTTTTTCGTAGGCACAGAATCTTTTCCCCTGGAAAACGCCCCCCTCTCACTCGCACTGTCCCCCCTGGAGCTTTGTACTTTTCGGTCTGTCACTGGCACTGGTCCGTTTTCCACCTTTGTCCGTTTAACATCACCGCTCACATTGTCCTTGGAGCCATCCAGTGTCCGTTTCTTGGATTCACTGCCGTCTTTCTGCTGGGCAGGCCGGGGGCCCGGCGACCCCTTGGAGCCGCCGGCTGCCGAGCTCGCCACCGTGCGGATCGGCGCCGCGAACAGGTCCTCAAAGCTGTTCTGCAGCGGCACCGGCAGCCGGTTGCCGTTCTCGTCCTCCATCTTGAGCCAGGTGTAGACCTTGGCGCACCTCTGGGCGGGGGCCGTTCGGGCGCGCGCCTCCCAGAGAGCTCGGCGAGCGCCCGGCACCAGCACCGTGTCAGCCGAGTCCTCCGAATCGGAGAGCTGCGAGTCGCCTGCTTCCATAGCGCTGAAACGCACACAAACACAGCACAGTTAGGGTACGATTCTCTGAAACAGCCGCACACAGGGAGCAGTTCGGATACATCGCACTTAAGCAGACACGTCTGGGTCCATTTGGGTCAATTTATGCATCAAATCACAAACGACATTTCAGCATACAGTTTTGCCACGAGCCATTGAAAAGACTTCCCCCCAGTGCAGCGAGGACTTCCCAGCGCGGAAAGGACATCCGCTGAGCGCCCGCAGGGAGTCTGGCGGGGGCCCGGAGTGCACGCCGTGACCGCCGCCCGGCGCCACGACAAGACTAATACACACACCGGAGATACAGCGGTCGGCCGAGGAAGGGGGGGGGGGGTGGACCGGAGTGAACAGGGTGGTATGCCGCATCGCACAGACGACTGACAACCGGTCCCTCAGGTACGTCAGGGTGCAGCAAAATAGAAAACAGCTCAGGGTCACACATCGGGAGATGGAATCAGACTCGGCCTCACAATGGGTTGAGCGTCAACCCCCTCTACGAGCTTAGTTTGGCATATGGTAGCCGGCAGCAGCAGGCGGAATAAGATATAAAATTGGTGTTTGGCTCTTGATCATCGATAATTAACAGTACAGGGCCGTACGTCATTGTAGCCGATGCTCTCGGTTATCTGCAGCCATCTCCACGCCAAAGATTGGTGGAAAATTAATGTCATATACTTATTTTTGCCTGTCATAAGGCACAAAACATAGTCTAAATGTTGGTAGACTCCACGGCGGTTCACTGTGGGGCATTTCTGGGTTTCTGACACAAGTGTAAGCGATAAATATTAAACGGGAAGCTGTAAGAGCCACACCAATGACAATAAAACAAGATGAAGAGACACCAATTACATGTCATGCATCTGCAAGCCCCTGCGTTTTTGTTTTGTGGCGAGAAAGCTCTTTCGGCCTCAAAAGGCCATTGCAGAGCTATGTGATAGGATGGGACATTGGACTGTGAGGACTACCGACGGTGCACCGCAGAGGCAGAGACCGTCCCAGTGGGAAGGGAATCACTGGCGGATCCAGCCCAGAGTTTTGGGAGGGGCAAACCAGCACAATATAGTGGTTCTTTCCATGCACTGTATACAGGAGCAATGTTAAAATTGTGATGTTTGGGGGGGGGGGGGGCAATTGCTCTATTTGCCCTCCACTGGATCCGCCACTTAAGGGAATGCTCCGATAGGACAGCCCGCCCTGCCGCTCAAACGGTCACCCCTGAGAGGAAGTGGTCCAGGTGTAGACCTGCCCTCACCAACGGTTGTCACGTGGGGTGACCACCAGCCCGGAAAGAAAAACGTGAGGGGGATGCAGATGGGTTTGTTCCGAGGAAGGCAGGGACGAATGCAAATTGCACAATGCACATACCTATACGACCAATGAAATCAACAGATTTCATTGGTCGGTTTATGTTGCAAGTCTTATTCCGATCGGGTGGGAAAATTGCGACTGATACCACATATGACCAGATCAATAGAAGCGTCTCACGAATTAGTTGGAGGATAACATTGGCCTAGCTCGTTCGAGCAGCGGTGCCTGACTGCCCGTGTAACCTGCGGTACCTGCATAAAGGCAAGTCAGGCTCGGCACCGGGCGGGTCAGCAGCAACCACAGGGTCAGTCACAGGGTATCCGTTCCAAAAAAGTGGTAGCGAACCGGTTGCATTTGGAACAGGCGACCAGAAAAAGGGCGACTGGCGGCACTGAACATTGGGCAAGAGCATTGTCGAAAGCTTTGGATCGGATAGGTGGTATTGTCGACAGAATAAATATGATTTTACTGGACTTTAAAGATACGTAACAGCCGGGAGCCGAGCACCAGGGACTAATAACACCGACAAACTGATGGGCGCCGACGTCTCGACGCCGACCCCGTTCCTTTAACAGCCTGGGAGTTTTTAGTCGCATCAGCAAAGAGCCTTGAAGGCCTCGTCTTATCACGCTCGCGCACAGAGTTTGGTCAAGGCTAACACACTTTTTCAGAGCCGAAGATGGTGAGGGCACGCAGTATTCAGCGAGCGCCCCATGCACCCTCCGGTAAACGCACACCTAACGATTCTCGCCAAGGCAGCAGGTGCGTGACCTCTGCGCGTGGCAGCTTTCTCCCCAGCTCTGGCTGCGTCGTGTGCTTGATGTGGCCAGCTGCACCATACCTCCGTTGGTATGCTGCAGGGCAGGAAGTGGCGTTCACATGACCTTGGCGCTAGCACCCCGACAGCCGCGATTAAATCATTGGCCAAGGAAAGAGCCGCATGTCGTTACGACATACTGTACATCGGACAACAACGTTGCTCGTGATGAGCACGGTATCACAATCGTGAATGTTTACGTAGGTATGTATGGGCGGGCGGGTGAGGTGTCCATGCATGGGCGGTCGGAGGCATTGGTAGGTCCAGAAAACCGCTCCTGGACTCCGCATGGGGAAGGGACATACCCCCCAAAATCAACTCCAAGTAAAAACTACTCGAATTTCTCCTCCATGTGCGTTGTTGTGCATTTTAAAAGCAAACTTTTCGTAGTAAAAGTCCCTAGTCTAGGAGAACGACAAATTTTCCTCGATTTCGAATGGGTGCATTTGCCCCAAATACTCCTCCCCCCTGGATCCGCCACTCGCCAGTGACCGGAGGTTATGCAAACACGATGACAAAATCACTCCATGAACATAATAAACTGACGAACCTCAAAACAAAACAAGCAGATGAAACATACGAAGAACTACGTTGACACCCCATGCTTCGTGTTTTCCTTGCTGTGCATTTCTCCGCAGGTTTATAGCGCGGCCCATGACCATCACACCACACCGTCCATTCTCCACAGACGCACATTGCCCAACACCGCCCACAGCGGGCGAAAGTGAATTACTTACCGCACCGCCGGCTTTCCCATTATCGGAGCGTCCCGGCCGCCTTACGCACTATCCCACCCTCCTTTCAGACCGTCCCCGATCGGACACCACACCGAGATCCGCAGCACACCTGTCGGATACACCGGTCCGCCGCCGCACTATGTGGACACTGGACACGGTCCGCAGGATGGCGGACATCCGGCGCCGGTCACACACGGCGCTCCACTGACAGCGACCGGCGCGGCGGCGCGGCGCACGGCGAAGGTCGCGGTGGGCCGCTCTGAGCCCCGCCCGTCCCTCTCCGCAGAGGAGAGAGCGGCCGGAGAGGAGAGAGCGGGACACAGAGAACGGGGCCGACTGGAGCCGGGACGACAGTGCGTTCAAGCGCCACCCGGAGCGACGGAGGACCGAGCAGCTTGCTGAACCGTCAATTGGATACAACTGGTAGTGAACGAGGCAGTACAGTTAGGTAGAGGGTATTGGCCAGGAACCGGCTTCAGCCGCTTTTTCAGGGGTCCAAAAACAGACAGGGAGAGGGAGAGGGAGAGGGAGAGAGGGAGAGAGGGAGAGAGAGAGAGACAGAGACAGAGACAGAGACAGAGACAGAGACAGAGACAGACAGACAGACAGACAGACAGACAGACAGACAGACATACAGACAGACAGACACAGAGAGAGAGAGAGAGAGAGAGAGAGAGAGAGAGAGAGAGAGAGAGAGAGAGAGAGAGAGAGAGAGAGAGAGAGAGAGAGAGAGAGAGAGAGAGAGAGAGAGAGAGAGAGAGAGACAGACAGACAGACAGACAGACAGACAGACAGACAGACAGACAGACAGACAGACAGACAGACAGACAGACAGACAGACAGACAGACAGACAGACAGACAGACAGACAGACAGACAGACAGACAGACAGACAGACAGACAGACAGACAGACAGACAGACAGACAGACAGACAGACAGACAGACAGACAGACAGACAGACAGACAGACAGACAGACAGACAGACAGACAGAGACAGAGGGAGAGAGGGCGAGAGAGAGAGGGAATGAGAGTGAGTGGGGGATGGGGAAGGAGAGGGAGAGGGAGAGGGAAACGAGATGGAGAAGAATAGGGAGGGGAAGAGGAAGGGGAGAAAAAGAGAGAGGGAGAAGAAAAGGGAAATGGAGAGGAAGAGGGAGAGAGAGGAGAAAGAAGAGACGGAAAGGGAGGGAGAGAGAGGGAGGGAGAGCGACAGAGGGAGAGAGGGCGAGAGAGAGAGAGAGAGGGAGGAGGGAGAGCGACAGAGGGAGGGAGACAGAGGGAGGGAGACAGAGGATGAGAAACAGACAGAGGATGAGAGGCAGACACAGGGAGCGACACTCCGGGTCTTCCCTCATTGACCCGGTCTTCAGACAGAGTCGCCCGTCCATGTCATTAAAAGGTCACCGACAACCGTGGCTGACCCGTTACGGTTAGACCCCCCTATTTCCCAGGAATGAGGAAGGAAGGGGAGGGCAAAGGACACAGCAAAGGACCCATCGAAGAACCGGGCCTACTCCACAGCCCGCCCCACTGCGACCAAATCACGCCCAGCGCAGTGTAAGGGGCGTGGCGTAATTGAACGAGTGCCGGTGAACCAGGAGTATCAAAATATACAAAATATAATACCCGAACAGGCGCGTAATAACCCCAAAAGAATGGCCTGAACGCCCTTTAAATCAGACCGTTTGACCGAGCCGGTTCATCCGCGGCACTGCCAGTAACAGTGGCCAACCGACGCGAGGGTTTAATAAAATTAGTCCCTACCTGCCGCACTAATTAACCAGCTCTGACTCAGGTAACGCCCAGAGTTTGAATGGACGTGAATCCCACCACATCCTCCACACAAAACATTACAGCCGGGATAAGGCGCAATAATAAATCCGTCATCAAAACTAACAGTCACAATCACAAACAAGTGGCACGGCCGCTGGCAGAACGCAGCTGTAAGTATGTACAGTATACACATAGTGTACATACAAGATATCTTGCGCTCGCTCCGCGTCTCTTTGGCCATAAAATGATTCGGGAGAAAATTCAGCTTACTCGACGCGTGCAGCCGCAGCCAAGATTCCTTTACTACTCGCCGCAGCCACTTGTTGCGTGTGGTCTCATAATGGGGCAGGTATTGTGTCGGTGAATCCGCGCGGCTGGTTATGGGAAGTCGGCGCGACAGGCCGGGAGAGGCGGGGTTCGGGTGTCATAGCGAATTAGTTGTGTCCCAGCAGTGGTGTATCTTGTGTCCCACATCCTTCATTTAATTGGCATTGTTAGCGAGCAAATACGTTGCTCTATGTAGGTATCTGTTTAGGAAGACGGCCGGCGCTCGGAGCGCGGCGGTCGGCCCGCCGCGCCGCGCCGCGCGCACATGTGTCAATTGTGTCATCCGGTCGCTGTCCTTATTCTCATGCCCACGTGTTGTGTTCCACGAGGGCTGAGACGGGACGGGGACCCAACAGTCTGGAACGGGACTCCGCCGATGCAACACGGCCCGGTGTCATACGACGCGGCCTGACGTGAACGACGTGGCCGACGCGGCCTGAGTACGAACAGTCTTCGACGCGACTCCGCCGGTGCGAGGCCGCGCCGGTGTACGACGTGGCCTGACGACGTGTGACGGACGTGAGCGCATCTGTTCAACCGATTGCTTGATAATCAAGAATCGACTTTTACTTGTATGAACAATAACTTTATGGTCCTCCGGGTGACGAAAGAGAACGAGTTAACGATCACGAGCACGCAAAAACATTTCCGTATCGAACGAGTGAACTTTACTATGCTCACGAACAGGCATCATTTGCGGCAAGACGATATAAGATAGGTGCGTCGCCGTATTTGTATTTGTATTTGACAGTTAAAACACTCTCCACAGTAAAAGGGCTGTTCCGAGTGTCGCGTCATAGTAAATGGAAGAATATGACATTTTCCCACAAAATCTGAGTTACGGCCATATTCTGATAAAACACAAGTTATTGCGAGCGAGTGAGCGCTGCGAGCGAGCGAGCGCAGCGAGCGAAGCGAGTCTTTTCAATATAACGGAAAAATCTCAGCATGAGCGGCCCGGCCCGGCCCGGCCTGTAACGTTTTTGAGAGGCTTATGTCTCAGCAACCGCTAGACCGATTGGCCTGCGGTCTTTTTTGCTGGGTAGCCCCATCCCTTCTACCCCGTAATTGACTACTTTTGATACATCTCAGTGACCGTCGTGGCACGTGCCACATGAAAAGTCAAGGGTGTTCAAACTGTTTTGCAAAAGTAGTGATTTTGAGAGGCTCATATCTCAGCAGCCGCTTGGGCGATTGTCTTGCGGTAATTTTTGTAGGGTAGCTGCATCCCTTCTACCAAAGGTCGGATACTCTTGATCTATGTGAGTGACCTCCACTGCACGTGCAAAATACAAAAAGAAGAGGTGCCAAATGTGTTCCCATTTCAATAACTCTTTTTTTCTCGATAGTATACATTTATTACACTCAGTCACCTTATCACATTCAGTCATCCGACATCATCCACTCCAATGATGCGCCACCAGTGGCTCATCAGTTGTTGCATCAGCTGCCTCAGCTGGCACGACACGCAACGACAACTCCCCCCAACAGCACACACGCGCCACACTATCACTGCACCGCTGCAATGGTTGCACTACACAGGTCAAGGCACACATGGCACCACCGCGGGACCGGTCTTTGCGGCACTGCTCCAACAGCGCAAGGCAGCCAAACAAGTCAGAGTGAGCAAAACAGCGAGGCAAGGTCCGGGTGAAACGTTCAAAATTTTCAATAACTCGGTAATTACTGGGGCGATTTCGCTGAAACTTGGCATACAGGTAGGCACCCACCAGGCAATGCATTTCCATGTGTTGCGGTTAAGGTGCTACTGCACGTGCGCACGTGCAGGGGGCGCTTCCAGATCTCGAGAACGGTTGGGCCGATTGCGTTCAAATTTGGTACACCGCTAGCGACCGGCTAGAAGGGTGCTTTGCACAAGCCCTTTGGAAGTACCTCTCGCCCTTCCGCACGTGCAGGGCTCACTATCTCGCTCGCTCGTTCTTCGCCCAAAAGGCGTTTTACTGGTTTATTTAATGATAAGTTCCTTAGCCTTGCTAGGAGCGAGAAACCAAAAAAAAAAAACAAGGCGCCCTTATTTGTAACAAAAGCGCCATACTATTCCACTTTCTAATAGAGAAGCAAAAAGTACTTTCGATTACTGTTTCTCTCTTGCAAAAAAAAACGTTTTCACACACGGAAATGTGTTTTAAGATTTTCATATTTTATTTACGCTACAGTAAAAATAGCATAACGCTTCAATAATTTTTCTTAAAGAAATCAGAAAGGTAATATTCTCCCTTTAAAAGGACCCTCCCACCTTCAAAAAACAGTAAATGAATGGGTAGGTATGCAAGTGTCAAGTGATGTCCCGTGGTTCAGAGAGCAAAAATGAATATGTACCAAATTTCACTGAAAAATATTCACCGGTTTTGAGAAATTAGACTTTTACTTTTGTTTACTTTTTGGGGCCTCCGCTGTTCCTATGACGTCATTTGGAAGTAATATGATATCCTAAAAAAGCGGCAGATGTTGCGCGCAAAGCAGCATATACCGCACAGGGGAGCACTGCCGCTTCAACCCTATTGGCCGTAGTGTCTAACGGTGGCGGCCATATTGCGCAGACCAGGAACCGGCCGCCGCCTGTGTTGAGGAATAGGGAATTCGGGACCTCGATTTACGTTTGCGGCCGCCGCATCCGTTACGTTCAAGCTACGTCAATACGGAACCCGGCATCTTACGGGGAACACGATCGAATCTTCAGAATTCCTCAAATTCTCTCGCCGGACCATCGTTTTTCTACATTTGCCCCGGCCGAGAGGGTTGATCCAAGTGAAAAAAGGGGATTGCGGGTAGGAATGCAATCCACTTCGGCACTAGGAATGTGGATTGGGAATGCAATCCTTTCAAAAAGGATTTTACCGATGCCTGAACTTTGAGCTTGCCCTTTCGAGGTCAACATATATATGCTTTGATGCGGATCGACGAGAGGGTCACGATGGCGCTATTAGTTTGTTCCTAGCTAGGATACGTCGAAAGTTATTCGAGAAAAACTTCATATCTATGTAGTGCCGACATTTTAACATTTTTTACCCCTGTGACGTCATCTTTGACCTGACCTAAAAACGGCCTCAGTACAAATTGTAGACCTTATCTGTGTGTACCCTGTGCCGTTTACCGCTTGTCGCTATCTTGCTTTGTTCTCTCGAGATCTCACCGTCGCTCCCGCTCGTAATAATGGGCAGGTCATAAAAATGACCTGACCTGAGGTCAACGCAGGCCGAAAACCACTTTTTTATTATCGCATATGAATGACAATTGGTAAGGCTTTAATCGTCATCAG